CCCTTTTGATCTCTGAAACAGCTAGCCAGCCAGCCAGACAGCCACTAACTCAAACCCTTTATTCAAGCCCATGAAGAAAACGACATAACTTCAGACACACAGATCTTTAGCTAAAGAAGATATCATGAAAACACATAACAAAACATCATAAAATACAAACCCTAAACAAAATTTCACAAACACAAACACAAACACAAAGGATTTTGTAAACTTTATCCAAAGAACACATCATTACACTGTCTGATCTTCATCCAACATGAGCATCCAAGAAAGCAGTGGAGATTAATAATAACAGTTAAGAAAGAGATTTTCCCACCTAAATGGAAAGAAAGCAAAAAGAAAAGAGCAAAAGTTTGAGGGTTTTGATCATCAGAGTTGCAGAGAAATGATATGAAATCCCAAGTTGGTATTGGTTGGGGAGAAGAACGAAACACCCTCTATAAAGCATTGAGGGGAAGCCCAGAAGGGGAAGTCTAAAGAGGACAATATCTAGGATGAGCAATGGTTCCGCGTGTAACTCACTCCTCAAGGGAAAGCCTAAAGAGGACAATATTTGCTAGTGGTAGGCTTGAGTCGTTACAAATGAAACCCATGGGTGCAGAGGAAAATTCGTGATGATAAGAGAAAAAAAGGGCAAAAAGGTGAAGATATAAGTAGAGATTGGTTGAAAGGAGGCAACGTCATGACAGGGTGGGATTGATGTCATTATAAAACCCACCAAAATGGCCCCTTTTTCTGTTGTGGGTTGTGGAGGGTAGTGGAGGTGAAGCTATCATCAAGTCTTTGAATGTGACTACATATGAATTTTTACACAAAAAGGGGACTCCCACAACACAAGGATGAATGATTAACATGGGTGTTAATACATGTGCTCTAAAGATTTGGCTAAGATACAATGCCATTTCTTTTTTGTTCTTGGCACCAGCGTTGGCTTGGCTTTAGTTTTATATATCACATTGGGTTTCACATGAAATGTTGAGTGAACTCTTTATAAGGTTGGATTTGATGGGTTTTCAATGAAATCTTTTTTTCAAGTGGTAAAGTACTCCTCTCCATATCTTTACCATCACCACCTCAAATCTAGCTGACCCACATGATTATATATCCATAGAATATACCGTTTCTCTATCTTTCAAGGCTCAGTGTCCTCGCTGGCACACTTTCGGTGTCCACCCCATTCGAGATTCAATGTTCTCAGTAATACATCGTCCCGTGTCTGGCTCTGATATCCTTTGTAACAGCTCAAACCTACCGCTAGTAGATATTGTCCTTTTGGGCTTTCCCTCTTGAGCTTCCTCTCAAGGTTTTTAAAACGTATATGCTAGGGAGAGGTCTCCACACCTTTATAAAGAATGTTTCGTTCTCCTCTCCAACTGATGTGGGATGTCACCTTTTTTGGGTGAGTCTCATTTCTCTTCAAATAGTCATTTGTCTGTGTATTTTTGTAACTGCTTAAGTCCATTGCTAACAGATATTGTCCTCTTTAGACTTCCGCTCAAAGTTTTAAAACGCGTATCGTAGGGAGAGATTTTCAGACCCTTATAAAGAATGTTTTGTTCTCCTCTACAACTGATGCGAGATCTCACAATACATTCCCTTCAAGTCCCAACGTCCTCGTTGACACTCATTCCTCTCTCTAATCCATGTGGTATTTCACAATTTTATACCATCTCAAGAGAATTCTCTCTACAATGCATGTCAACTTCTTGGCGCACAATATGAAAATCACATCATGGGTAATCAATATCGACGTCTCCAACTCTATAGAGACGCCCAACCAATATTGACTACTCCGAATTCATTACGTAAACGACCCGTTTCTCTCCGAATCGTTTTCTTTTAAACCATCCAAAACCCTAACTAAACTAACAAAGATCAAACACAAACCCTAATCTTCATACCCACCAAATCAATAATCTACACTTTTTGAGCTGAAAAGAAAAGTCCACAACTTTGAACATCTTCAAAAGGGCATGATTGATAAACTCACAAACAACCCAATTTCATATAAACAAGGTAAAAAGAGAATTTTTCACAGATAACCATGCAAAAGCACCCATGCTCTAGAGCCTTTCAAACTCAAAGACAAAAACAAAAAAGAATTTGCAAAAGCCACAAGTTAAGAAGACAAATAGACAATCGTGCTAAAGTGAAGAGGGCAGAAATCAAAGTGTTTGTACTTTAATACCACTTTTGATTGGATCGGACAATGCTTAATTAAGACAAAAACAGGGTTTTTATGTTTGTAAATATAAAGATATATGAACAATAATGTTGTTGAAAAGGGAAAAAGGGTATTAATGATTTATGGTTGGCTTTTTGATAGCCATGCTCTGCTAACGTAACTGTGTGATTACCAGAAGTTGCCGGCCAAGACCCTTCACGCCTTTCTTCTTCAAATTCTTTTGATTTCTTTTGGGTTTCTTTTTTGTTGTGTGTCTTGTTTTTGGCGCAAGGATTGCAGAGACAAAGAATTGGAAGGTAAAAATGGGAAATATAGGGAACCAAGTAACAAAAGGCAAAGGGGTAGGCGTTGCAGGGTGCAGCTAAGCTAGAGGTTTTTTCATGTCTTTGTGTGGTAGCATTCGGCTAATAGTTGTTTTATACAGTCCATTTGTGAAGGGAAGCCTTTCTTGGAGAACCGTGCATTGTTTCAATAAAGTGACTGAGAACATCTATCATTCCCCTATTCTCTCCTCAAAGAGTATTGGGACTTTTGGGTCATATTATCTTATCAACCCACCAAATCTTACCTACAATAGTTTATGAAAAAGATCCAATTTTTATCTTTGAACTTTCCATTTCATCCTATTAACACGTAATGACTTTGATTAGTGTTGTAATCTTAATCTTGGTTATCTTTACTAATTCATGATAAGTTTGTAATTGTGAAATCCGGTTGGAGAGGGGCCCACTGCTGATAGATATTGTCCGTTTTAACCTATTATGTATTGCTGTCAGTTTCATAGTTTTAAACACGTCTACCAGGGAGAGGTTTCCACACCCTTATAAGGAATGCTTTGTTCCTATCTCCAACCAATGTGGGATCTCACAATCCACCCCCTTTGGGGGCCAGCGTCCTCGCTGGCACACCGCCCGATGTTTGGCTCTGATACCATTTGTAACAACTAAAGCCCACCGCTAGTAGATATTGTCCGCTTTGGCTCGTTACGTATCATCGTTAACCTCACGGTTTTAAAACATGCCTACTAAGAAGAGGCTTCCACACCCTTATAAGGAATGTTTCGTTCCTCTCTCCAACCAATGTGGGATCTTATAGGAAACTTCTATTTAGCAGACGTGTTTTAAAACCTTGAGAGGAATCTTAGAAGGGAAAGCCTGAAGAGGAAAATATTTGCTAGCGGTGGGCTTGACCTGTTACAGTAATAACTTATTTCCTTTCTTTCGAGTTCAATAATTACAGGATGAGAATCAAATCATCGTCTGGTCATTAGTGTCGTATATCCACGTAACGATCTCGTTCCATAATTTCTTTTAGTTACCCCATGGTTTGAAAATGATTCTACAAACAAACAAATGGCATGGTACATAATAACATAAAAATGGAATTCATAACCTATAATAAACAGTATTACATTTGGGTGAAAACATAGAAGTTTTGTTGTCCTAACACTGAATTGATATCATAATTACATATTCTCTCAAAAGCTTAAATTTTTCGCTAAGAAAATGCTCCCACAACATTTCAAACTTTGATTCAAAGCCACTCCCTGACTGAATCCAACATAAAGTAAGAGCTAAACAAGGGTTTTTCTGTTTCCTATGACCCTTAATGAAGAAGGGTTCATACTTGATGACTTCAAAAAGCCATTAATTTTGACATAAAAGTTAAGACCCATTAAGAATCAAGATAAACCCACATGATTAATGCACAAATATGGCTGAACCCGAGAAACTTTTGTGTTTGAATGAGAGAGATAGAAGAGAGAGAAGGATATGGAGTGTGTTCCAAGACACAATGATTACATGTTCTTAAGGAAGTAGAAAGGGTTGGCGTGGACATGGCTAAGAGTATGGAACAACCATTTGGGGGCTTGAACCATAACAGATGTCAGGAACTCGTTCATTTGAGTCTAATAGGTCAAGTTCACCCGTAGTAGATATTGTCCGTTTTGGCTCGTTACGTATCGTCGTCAGTCTCACTGTTTTAAAAACACGTTTCTTAAGAAGAGATTTCTACACCAGAATTGTTTCGTTTCTTTCTCCAACTAATGGGAGATTTCACAAGGATTCTAAATTTTTATTAAAACCATGCGTGAAACCTCTCCCACATTGGTTGGAGAGGGGAACGAAGTATTCCTTGTAAAAGTACGAAAATCTCTCCCAAACAAACGCATTTTAAAAACCTTGATGGAAAGCTCGAAAGGGAAAGCTCAAAGAAGACAATATCTGATAACAGTGGGCTTGAGCCGTTACAAACTTATAGCCTTGGTTCATTTTACCAACAAACGCATTTTAAAAGCCTTGATGGAAAGCTCGAAAGGGAAAGCTCAAAGAAGACAATATCTGATAACAGTGGGCTTGAGCCGTTACAAACTTATAGCCTTGGTTCATTTTACCAAGATACTAATCTCGATCTCGACAATGGTTCGTATTCAAACTATTATTTTTAACCCAACAACGTAAAAGTGCACAAGGTAAAAATGAACATTTTGAAAGTGTAAAAACAAATTTGAAAGAAAAGGGTTTTAGCCAAAGGCAAGCTTTTTAGAACAATGATCTTCTCAGCTCCTTTTTGGTCCTTGTTTGGACGACAAAGCAATGTTTTTATATGTTCACTCTCTTTTTATGTGGTCGTGTCTTCCCATTATATATAAACAAAACATAAAGCGATAATATATAAAAACATATACTAAATGGGGTTTTTCTCTGTCATATGCATATAATAATGTGAGCTAATTTTGATAATTATAACACAAAAGATCTCTCAGCTCATTTCACTGCCTAGAAAAAGGCATAGGGGATGGACAAACAATAATGGCGTAAGAAGAAAGTAAAGCAAAGCAAAGCAAAGCCAGAGAGAGAAACAGCTCTATATATTGAAGCTCAAACTAAAGCTTATGTTGAAGGCAATGGATTAATGGTCAAATTCATAACTTTGATCCAATTTTATCATAAAGCTTTGCCCTTTTCACTTCATTTTGTCTTTATTTTGTGAGTGATATGCGTGGGGAGGATCAAGAACAGGATCATCATCATCAACATCAAGGGGAGTGTTCACAAACAATTGAGAATATGTTTCAAGAACAGCTTCTTCTTCACCAACAACTACAAAACAACACCACCGATCATATTATCTATGGAGATCATCACCATCATGGAGCTGGAAGAGGGTTGATTTTCCCGGCCGACGTCGTGTCGCCGGTTCTAAACTCGTGGCCTCCGCTCAACCCATTTCTCATTCCTCCTCCACCTCCGCCTCCGCCACCGACATCGTTATGTTCGTCGTCGTCGTATGGTAATCTTTTTAACCGGAGACCGGCTAATTGTCTTCAATTTGCTTATGATGGAACTTCCTCAGCGGACCACTTGGGTCGAATCATATCAACCACGCTTGGACCAGTGGTTCATCATGGCTCAACTGCTCCCTTTGGATTACAAGCTGAGCTTGGCAAAATGAGTGCTCAAGAAATAATGGATGCCAAAGCTCTTGCAGCTTCTAAAAGCCATAGTGAAGCGGAGAGAAGAAGAAGAGAAAGAATCAATAATCATCTTGCTAAGCTCCGGAGCTTACTTCCTAGTACCACTAAAGTAAGCATTTTTATGAATCCCTATATTGCTTTTCACTTACCCATTTGTTTGTTTAAGTTTATTTCCATTTCTTGCATTGCTTTTTTGGATCAAAGTTGCAATTTTTAACATATAGAACAACAAATTTCTTACATTTTCAACATCCCATGATGTTTCCTCGTTTGTTCAAATAAGGGTTTGTTGTGTCGTGTTTGTTTTTTGGTGTGGGAATGAGGAAGAAGAAAAGAGAGCTTAACCGGTAATGTCGCTGGATTGATATCATAAAGAGGAACCAAAATTGCAGTTGGAAAAGGGTTTCGGTTGGGAAATTTGTTGCCGGATGTCAGTCAAAAATATGTTAGAGAATGAAAAGAAATAAAGAGAGACAAATTCAGTATCCTTGTCAGTTACCCTTAGAGAGGCCCTTATCTATTATTCTTATGCCCTTTCCCTTCCCACTTCTTAGCTTAGCCCCACTACCAATGACCCTAAACTCAAAACACAACACTTCCACTAGCTGTCTCTCTCTCGGTATCTGCAACCGTCTAAGCCCATCGCTAGTGGATATTGTCTTCTTTGAACTTTTCAGCAAGGTTTTTAAAACACATCTGCTATTGAGAAGTATCCACATCCTTGTAAAGAATGTTTCATTCTCCTCCCTAACTGACGTGGGATCTCATAGTATCAATACCCTAAACCCAAAACACAACACCCCACTAGCTAACTCACTCCTTATCTGTAACAACCCAAGCCCACAGCTAGTTGATATTGTTTTATTTGGGCTTTCTCTTTTGAATTTTCACTCAAAATTTTTAAAACGTGTATGCTAGGGAGAGGTTTCCACACCCTTATAAATAAGATTTCATTCTTCTCTCTATCCGATGTGGGTTATGACAGTATCACAAAACTTAGTTGGGGTTTCAAAATATCAAGCGGTTTGCCTTACATTTACCCAACTTTTAGGAAATCGATCCATTATCTACTTGAGTTATCCTTCTATCGATTCCTAATCTTAAGTCTGCCTTAAAATTTTTATGTCGATGAATTTCTTTGCATGTGTTGAATTGTGAGATTCCACATTAGTTGGAAAAGGGAACGGAACATTCCTTATAAGAGTGTGGAAACTTCTCCCTAATAGACACGTTTTAAAGCCATGAGCCTAACGACGACATGTAATAGGCTAAAGCGGACAATATTTGCTAAGGGTGGGCTTGGGCTGTTACAAATGATATCAGAGCCAAACATTAAGCGGTGTGCCAGCTAGAACGCTGTGTCCCAAGGGAGGTAGATTGTGAGATCCCACGTCGGTTATAAGAGTGTGAAAACCTCTCCCTAATACACGCGTTTTAAAACTGTGAAGTTGACGGCGATACGTAACAAGCCAAAACAGACAATATCTGCCAGCAGTAGACTATTACACGATGTTATCTACGATTTTACGTAGATTAAGGAAGAGCATTAGAACAATGTCTTTTGTTTTTTTTAGTGTCCATTTGAAGCATAGACCAACACTAACAAAACCCTTTATATTTTTGGTGATATCAAACAGACAGACAAAGCTTCACTACTAGCAGAAGTAATACAACACGTGAAAGAGCTAAAACGGCAAACATCATTGATAGCAGAAACAAGTCCAATCCCAACAGACATCGACGAGCTAACAGTGGACGATGCCTCAGACGAGATGATGATCAACGGCGCCAAATTTGTAATAAAAGCTTCTCTTTGCTGTGAGGACCGTTCAGATCTCCTCCCTGACCTCATCAAAACACTGAAATCCTTGCGCTTAAGAACCCTCAAAGCTGAAATCACAACCCTTGGTGGGCGCGTGAGAAATGTGCTGTTTGTTACCGGTGAAGACGACGAGCCATCAACTGACCATAATAACAACGATAATAACAATAATAATAATAATCCCAATTCAGACAGCCAACAACAACAACAACAACATAGTATCAGCTCAATTCAAGAAGCATTGAAGGCTGTGATGGAAAAAACAGGACCGGATGATTCTTCGTCAGGAAACATTAAACGACAAAGAACAAATAACATCAATATCCTTTAAGGTTTCTTCATGTTTTTTTTTTTTTTTTTAATGAACTGAAAATTTACATATCACTGAAATTTCCACCATTTTAGAGGGATCTTTTTCATGGGGTTCGGAAAAAAAGTGATCTTTTGGGTAAGAGGGGCTTTTCCCGAGTTGATAGCTATACGTAACGGACCAAAACAGAGGACAGACGATGATTTATGGTGTGAGAAAAGTATTGAAGTTTTGTTTTTTATGATTTGGGTAAGAGGGGCTTTTCCCAGAGATGAGAGCGATACGTAACGGGCCAAAACGGAGGACAGACAATGATTTATGGTGTGAGAAAAGCATTGAAGTTTTGTTTTTTATAATTTGGGTAAAATGGGCTTTTCCCAAAGTTCATAGCGATACATAATAGGCCAAAACGGAGCACAGACGATATCTATCTATGGTGTGAGAAAAGTATTGAAGTTTTATTTTTTATGATTTGGGTAAGAGGGGCTTTTCCCAGAGTTGCAGTGAAGGTAAAGAAAAGCCCTAATGAGGCATGCATGTGGTGCAGTTGTGTCCCCTTTGATATTGCAAAGTGATGCAACAAAAAGAACTGATTTTTTTTTTTGGATATGAAGATCTGTCTTGATTTTATGTATTATTTTGTCTTTGACCCATCTTGGGATTTGCCTTGAAATCATCTTCTTCCCTTCTTTTTTCAGATTTTGTTTCAATATTTTTGGATTTGAGAGGAATTTTGTTGGTGTTTTGTTTCTCTTTTTGTTTCTTTGTGCAATATGATGTTGTTTTTATATAAATTGATTACCCATAAGTTAAATTATAAGTTTCGTTTGTTAGAATGACGTCTTTTTAATCATTGTACTTATAAACGTTTCAGTTAGATCTCTGAACTTATAATATATATTTGTTGTGATTTTCGAATAAATGAGAAGTATATGAATGAACTGATACTGTATTTGAATGAGAGTGATCTTAAAAATAGAAGACTAAGAAATACTTAAAAGAATTGAAAGTTACTACATATACCACAAAGTATACTTTTCTTTTCGATGATAATCATAGAAACTACAAAATCAAATGTATTTTACTCGAAGCAAGCTTATGTTGGGTGACTCCCGAAAAATTGTGAGCGAGAATAAAGCATATTGAAAGGACTCATATTGGTCGGTGCAGATAGTATTTTCATTCTTTGAAGCAAGAGTAATATTTCGCATGGAATGCAGGAAAATGTTGGAGTTATCAGGTGTCGGATCTAGATTCTGAATCTTGGACACAAGACGTTACGTTTGTAGTGTCTTTATGCGATTAAGACTTTTAATTTTGTGTTTAATAAGTTACTATCGTAAACTTCATATATGTTTAAGACTTTAATGACGTATTGCCTATGTTATTTAAGATCATGTGACAAGTTTAACGGTTTTTTTAGTTCAACAATCCATTAATTTCGATGACGTGTTACTAAAACTTAAATGTGTATTCGTAAAATCGTTACATGTTGAAGTGAAGTTGATGGTTCAAAATCCAAATCATGATATATAAACTAATATATAGATAATTAGCTATAAGTTTGCATGTAAATGGGGTTATTTAGGGTTTTATGAACTTGAGTGTAAAATGTGATGATTAATTTCCTTAAATCAAACATTATAATTCAACAACGTTGTCTTGGTTGCCAACATTAGCATCATCATCTGAAGCGTGTTGACCTTTTATGAATTAATTGTCCGATTAAAATAAATGTTCATGATGTGTTCAAAGTAACGAAGATATTTGTAAGCAAATAGAAGAGAGATTTCTGGTTAATCAAGATGTCGTTTATCTCGACTTTGTTTCTCTATGATATTATCTAAATGGATATAAACCATTGTTTCGATTCGGATATTTTGGTGAATTCATTTCACTTCAAGAACGATAATTCGTCAAGAATCAATTAGCTAATTGTTCGATTATATGATGATTGTGCATGAATTTGTTATATATTTGGAAAATCAATTAGGGGAGATCATATCAAGAATATTCGTGAATGACATGCTCTCATGAGAAAAAAATCGTGACGATTACTCATTTAATTTTATGATCATGAGAGCTAAGTCGAGTGAGGCTCGTCTCCATTAACTATGTTAATACTCAATGGCCATCGATTGGGGTAAAATCTCTTAGGATTTCAACTAATGCCTCTAGAGAATTGATAAAACTCAATAAACATGAGTTAATTGTCCACTTTGACCACAAAAAATTACATAGTTTAAGGGTAACAATTTAGATTTCACCAACACATGTTGCATGTGTGAGATCCCACGTCCATTGGGGGAGAGGAACGAAGCATTCTTTATAAGGGTATGGAAACCTCCATCTAATATTATACGTTTTAAAATCGTGAGGCTAACGGCAGCACATAACGAGCTAAAATGGATAATATTTTCTAGCATGGACTTGGGTTGTTATAAATGGTATCAGAGCCAGACACCAAGCAGTGTGTCAATGAAGACGTTGACCCCCAAGAGAGGTGGGTTGTGAGATTCCACATTGGTTGAAGTGTTTTCTTAAAAAATTATAAAAATCTCCCTCCTAATGATGATACATAACGAGCCAAAATTGTTTTGCTAGTAATAAATCAAATCTCAGTTGTTATAACAGCTCAACCATAAAATTCTATCTCAATTCCAATGATACTATTACTTTTTTAAAAGTCTTGAACATGTTAAAAAGTGTCATCGATGGGAAAAAAATTGAAAGTTTAAAGAAATGGGCTGACCCAACTAATGTGTTTAGCAGGCTCTAAGAATGAAGGTCGAGTATCAATGACGAAGACCAAATGGAGGGAGCTATCAAAAATGGCCATAACGATCGTACCAAATAAACTCATCAAATGCTAATGGGTTCACAGCTCTGCAGTTAGCTCTTTTCAGACTCTAATGCCGCATTCTCTAGATCAATGATGTCAATTCAGTAAGAATCAGGATAATCTTTGAGACAATAAACTTCATCAATGTTCCATAAAAGCATATACACAAGGTACATTGTCCTATCTTGTGATCACACCAGACGCTCGTTCGAGCTCATAGTGCCTCCCTGAGATGGAAGGTCTTAGCAATGTCTCTTGCATTGTCATATTCATTCAGCTCAACTAGCATCTTCTTTAATCGCCGAGCTAGTCCGCTCGTCTCGCTCTCAGCTATGCCTGAAATATGTTTTTTCTCCAATGTTCTTCCCAGTAGCATAACATAGTCTACCAATGGTTGCAACTTGTGACTGCAAAACAAAAATGTATAGAAGCTTATGGGTATCATCTTTGTATGAAACAGAGAGATAAATTCATAAACAAAAGGAATGCAACTTAAACGCTTATAAGCATCGTTCACGTGCGTATTCCCTTCACTGATATTATTTAGCCAGCCAAATTTCAGGTCCAAACAAAAGAGTGAATAACGTATGAATATCCAAACCTGCGATCACCGGTGACGCCGGGGCCTGTCCACACTCCTGATAGAGAAGCAATGATTCTCTCAGTTCTTGTGACTGCATCATGTATGTTCGCTGTGATGCTTCTAACATGAGGTAGAACTTTCCCATACAAGAGCTCTTCAAGGGCAAGCTTTTCTAAAATGGGCAATGCAATAATTTCTTTCCACAAACATATGTTTCTCATCAAACGAACGGATATGCCAAACCGATATGCTGCAATTCGAGCAGCATTTGGAACAGCTTTCATCACCAGTGCACTCCAAGTAGGAACCTATATTTTGTAAACATGATCCAACATCAGCAGATTAGATGAAATAATCCATTGAGAATTAAACATGAACGCATAATGGCTCACAGTACAGTGAAGTTGAGGATATATGCATTCAATTCACGCAGAAATGTTGGTTTCCATGATAATATAATATAAAGATAACCATATTATTGAAAAGTGCAAAACCAAATTCATACCGTAAGATCTTCAACAGCGCTTGATAAACGAGTACGAATAACAACCAATAATTCCGTAAGAGCTTCACTTGATGTTGGAACATAGTTAGTAATCAAGCTAGTAGCAAAAGCTGCATTTCGGGTTTCACGTGTGCTAAGCATGTCCCAACAATGAGCAACTTCATGGTGCAATATTGGAAGTGCAACCTTCTCAACTAGTTCTGGGACAAGGTTAGCATCGGCATCATTTGGAGCAAAATCACTACCATCTTCCGGCATACCATAATTGAACAGCAAAGAGTGCCTGAAAATTCAAAATAAGGATGGGTAAACGAGCAATTTAAATTATGTATGACTTTAACTTCACTAAGAAAGTACCACAACCAGCTGATCGGAGAAAATTCCTCTACCATTCATGATTATTTTTCATATTGACTTGAGTATAAATGCTATGTATATTAGCACTGTAATACTTAATAATATCATACCAGTTCATGTCAAAAAAATCTGCATTTTCATGCAGGGGATCCCACTTCAAGAGTTCCAATCTCACATAAGGAGAGAAGATAGCAGCAGTGCTTAATGACATATATGCGTCACGGTACGTTGCTGAATAATCTCTCTTCCATTGTTCAAACCTCTGTTTCACCACAGAAAGTTGGGAGAATTCCTCAGCTGCATCACTAAAAATTTGATCAGCAGTCTGAAGTAATAAATCATGGTTTGACTGGTAAGCTGCAGCCTCACTATCACTCTCATCAGTGCTAGACTCTCCTTCTACTTTTTGATGGCCATCAACTTCTGTGGATGCAAGTCTCTTGGAATCGTACTTTGCTCTCCGGCGCTTTCGAGCCTCAGCCCTTCTTTTCATATCCATACGTTTTTGCAAATTTAAATCCCTACCAAATTCATCTACCTTTGTTGGTAAATTTGCCTGTTCCTTTGCAGAGGCAATTGCTGCCTGGGCAGCACTTGTGGCTGCAGCAATCATTTCATTGCTGCTCCCCTTCTTATTCAAGATTGACATTGCTGCTTTTACAGCTGCTTCTATCTCCACCATTTCATCATCATTATCAGCTACTCTTCTTTCCACTACTGTAGAAGCCCGTTCTTCGTGAAGTTTTTGCATCTGCTCCTCAAGCTCCTCTATGAATGGAGCTTTATGCTGAAAGCACAGAAACACACAAAATAGTTAATTAAAGAAAGGAGATAAAACAGCTTGAATTAAAAAGCCAACCTAATATAGGACCTAACATCTCAGTGACGCAAAGTTGAGAGGCCTATAGTTCTAGTTTACAAGCATATCCAGCAAGGGGGAAAAGTGAAGAGGAAGGCAAGTCTTAATAATAGGAAAGGCACATGCTAACCATCTAAATTACAAACATCCCAAATGCTCTTGTACTATTGAAACCCCTTAAATGCGTTAGTAATTAAACTGTTTTGCAGGCACGAAGAATGTCTTTTTCTTAACGATCAAAAAAAAATTTCATGCCCTCGTAACTCTTTCAGTAAAGCATCCCAGTCTAAGTGAAAGTCCAAGAGATGCAAAAGACGCTTTGAAACTTGACCAACAAAACAAGAATAATCAAACATGACATATTTTTCACTACAGCAAGGTTCAATCCTTCAATAAACTACCAAACGACTAACTTTGGACTTTTGAGGTGCGGCTACATTTTCTATCATGTTTGATTCATGCATTCAAGTCAAAGTTGTTAACTTAGATGCCTTCAATAAAGTAATGGATCAAGTCTCCGTAGCTAACTACCAAATACACTAAACCACCCTAGGTTGGCCCAATGGTCAAAATGAGCCATGTATAATTAATAAAAGCCCCAAAGGGAATGGGTTCAATCATGATGGCCAGCTACCTAGGATTTAATATGTTACAAGTCACCTTGATACCAAATGTAGTAAAGTCAAGCATTTGTCTCATGAGAATAGCCGAGTGCATTCAAAATAATGCGAACAGGAAAAAAAATGCTACATTGAGTATTTGCTTTAACTCTATCCCTTAACACGTATGATGCAACACAATAGCCCCCTTTCCGGAAGAAACCAAGAAGAAAAATGTTAGTATAGACAAAAGCATTTGAAAAATAAGCCCGAACAAAAAAGGAGTTTGGCCCTAATTATAAAAAAAGGATTTGAATCCAAAAGAACGACACTACACTCATAATTGTATAAAGCCGTGCGGCTGACGTCCCAAAGAAGGCGTTAAACCTAGCCACCTCCAAAACTTTCACATCATATCTTTCGACCTCTCTAAAAATAGTATTATTCCTCTCAATCAAAATGTCGCACAACATTGCAAAGAAGCTAGACTGCCACTATACTCTGCCCTTCTCCTTCAAGCAAGAATTCAAAAGCACCTCCTCCAACCAAGCCCTACTGTCTCTAACAAAAGCCCAAACTGTAAGCTAGATATCCAAATGAAAAATCTATGGGAGAGGAAGTATCAAAAGGTAATAACACTTCGAAAACCATATATACATGGCATCTTCAAAGCATGACTGCTATTTAATTTCTACTCTGTCCTATAATTTTTGTTCTCTCTTTTCTGTGGCAGACTATTCAGAAACTCATATATCTTACAAGTACAGTAACATTGTGTATATTCGTAACATAACAAGCTTTTTATTGCTTGGCCATATATATAGCTCATAAAAAGATACAACAGACAAAGGTGAAATAGCCAATTCTGTTGAGACTTGTCCATCTAACATGTCCATGACATACAATAATTGTTCTAATTTCACCTTCAGAAACAGAAAAGAGCGAAAGCTGCGGTTAACTGTAGCCATAGAAGGACTACTTTATATATCCATAGGAAGCATCAAGTTATTTGTGAAAATTAGAAACTAAAAGAGAATAAGGCTTTATCTAGCTTGTCATATATTAAGTTCGAAATAAACCAATCATCATAAAGTTGCTACATGTTTCTAACACCTTTTAGCCAACATGTAATAAACAACCAAATGTAATGTGGTTCTCTAGTTCTAGTCAAACATGCATGACAATCAAATTTCTATTTCCATAAAACATGTAGGACGTAAGATAGGATATCTGTACCTGCAAAAAGTCACAGATAACAGAAACAAAGTCACGAAGCTTTTGCATAAATATAAACTTCTCGCCGGCAGCAGAAAGAGACTTTTCAAGGGCTGTGATATTCAAAAGAGATGCAGACAAATTTTCGTCCGTCTTCAACACAGATGCTGCAGTTCTTCGATAAGATTCCTGAGTATTAAAGAGAATGGAGGTCATGCATACACAGAGATCCATAGCCACAAGCAACGTTAGTCAATATGCACTTCATGATTGATAACACATTATTTTGGAGATAGGCTATTCAAAGTAAACTACATTCCAAGTAACACATGCCATGTATATAATAAACCAAGATACTGAAAGCCCTATTAACTCAAATATCATTTAACATATTCCTAGAATCTCCTGTAAGTTTCACGTTTATACCTCCATAGCACAAGACTGAAATGAGGGGAAAATATGCATACCTTAAGCCTCCCCATATTATCTCGCATAGCTTTTTTAGCAATCTCAGCTTGCTGAGATATTGATAGCCCATCCAAACCCTGTGAAACACCAACAGAACCTCCAATACTTGTAGCTGTAGATATGCTAGGCACCGAATTATACCCAGCTGTAGTGGGGTAAATTAAGTTCTGCTGCGGAACACTCGGAATGAGAGGGACACTTGAGCTCTCCACCCTAGTAGAACCATCATCCATTCTCTTACCCAGTCCCTTCCTAAACTGCTCTGCCTCCCATATTTTCTCCTCCTCGTCCTCATCGCTGTGCTCAATAATATTCGTTCTTACCCCATCAATAGCTTGCTCATCAAATTCCTCAAACACGCCCTTCTTCGAACTTGCTGACTTCCCTCCAATCATGGCGATTCTCCCCGGAAACTCTGTTTCTTCGTCGCTCAACTCCCCCGGCGCCGTGCGGTTGCTTCCTGCATCTAAGGATATATAATCCGGAGCTGCAACCCCAGCCTGTCGCATACGTTCCCTTTTCGCGCGAATTGCATTAATGGTTGCTTGATCGGGAATTGACCCAGTTGAATCCTTTCCTCTGCCAATCCCCATTGAAGCCATTCGAGCTAAGGCGTCTTCTTTACTCCTCCGAAACGAACCAGCGCTCTTTTCGTTACTACCCCCTTCTTCATCTTCGGAGCTCGACTCTTTACCTTCTTTAGCACTGTCCGAAATTTGTTCGACAGGCTTGAGAAGACCCTTCAGAACAATAACAGGTTCGGCGGAAGGCTTAGACTCGGATGAGGATCTCGAGCTCGCAAGCGTGCGAGTATTCTTCTGCAACTCGCGAAGGGCCTCCTTGGTATAAGTTCCAGCTTGAGGTTGCACATTGGAGGGAACAGAAGCCGACGTTGAAGAAGAGTGAGCGATGCGATCCTTCAAGGCAGTGATCTTGTGGGTGGAGGAAGGCTTAGCAAGTCGAGCAGAAGAAGGCTTCTTGGAATTGGCTGGTTTCGAAGAAGTGCGAAGTGGGGCATCGTTCTCTTCGTCACTGGCGAAGCTGAGAAGCTTGGGTACCTGAGGATTAGCCTTCTTGGGTTTATTGGCGACGGTAGAGGAGGTGGAAGCGGCTTTTGATGAGGCGTTTGAAACACCGGTTGAGGGGGCGGCGGCGCCATTGGGTTCGTCGTCGTCGTCATTGTCGTCGGCCCGGCGGCGAAAGTTTCTAGCTCGACTGCCGGACATGGTGATTGCTAGACACAATTACGAAGGAATTGTGCGATGAAACGAAACGAGCAGAATGAATTGGCAATTGCGAAGGTCGGGATTCAGATTCAGAAGCCGTGGATCTTTGCTAGGGTTTTTGGACCTGGATTTTAGTCGGTTTCTTGTTTCGTGCATTTCATTTCTAGCGGGGTTTTTTCTCCCCTCGTTTTTTCTTTTTCCCTCTCAAATCGCTTATTTTATTTAGGTCACACTGTGATAAACATTTTCCCAAAATTAATAAAAAATATATTTATTTTATCTAAAAAAATATTCAATAATATCCATGTCTTTTAAAAATAAATCTAAAAAATACTATAACTAAAAAAAATAATACTTTATTTTTAAAATGTTTTGTTAATATCTTAAACTTTTTTTAAAATTTAAAAGACACGTTTAAACTTTTTGAAAAACTACAAATAATAATAATAATAATAATATTAATCTTTAATTTGTACCCACTTTAAAAATATTAATTAACTCTCAAAATTAACATTAAATAGTCAATATGAGGTGGAAAGACGTTTTTTGTCCATATAATAATAAAAAATATATTTTTTTAAAAAAAATTAAAAATGTTATAAATTTAAATTTTATAGATATTTTTTAAGCACAATATTTTAATAAAATATTAATACTTTTCCTCTAGTATTAACATTAAAATGTTTTTTTGTACTTAAATTTTTTAAAGCTTATAAGTATTTTTTATATCAACTACGAGGGTATTTTTCTTAATTTAACTTAAACATTTTATAATTTACCAAATAGAAAAATGTAAACTAATATGCTAAAAAGCAATTCTAGCTTAAATACATTTATCGATTTTAAATCGTATTTATAAAATTTTAAAAATTTTATTTTTAACCTTAAACTCGAACACAAAGTTGGAATAGAAGATTTTTAACTGAATTAGCTTTTTGTCTGTGATTTTCACGTTTACATGAATCACGACGTGAACTAAATCCATATTGATAGCAATATTAAGAATTAGCGTTATTTCTCTTATTCATTATTATTATTATCATCATCTTGACATCGAGCTAAATCTATAATGCTTTGTTAAATTGATGAACTTAACTAATAAACACGAGAACATAAACTCAACTGATAAACACGAGAGTCCTTATTAATATCTACCGATTATTGATTATAGCATAATTAAAGAATCAATAACTAATTAATATATTAAAAGAAATTAGAAAGAATGATAATAATATTAATAATAAAAAGGTTAGAAATGAGAGAGCCACGTCATTGGTGTCCATCTTTTCTCTCTTTTGTTTTCTCCGGCGACAAGGGTTTTGTTAGCTTCAACGTTCATATCGTCGACGGTTTTCCAGGGTCAAAGTCATAACGGTCTTCAGAGCCGTTGCCCGCCATTCCCGGATGCCAGCTGTCTCGGCCTGCGCGTGTTTCACTTGGACTTATATATATCTCCCGTACTCACACTCACACTCTTTTCTTCATCACATTCTCACATTAGAATCAGAGCGCTCCATCAACGGCCTCTTCCCTTTTGAGTGTTCGCTGCCGAAACCAAACGCTAGATTGTTACCAGACAATCGGAGGATGAGAGAGCAGAATTGAAAGACGTTTCTAGCCTCGTCTCGGTGATGAGCAATAGAGGTAAACTATCTTCATTCTGCCTTTTAGTTTTATGGTGGTTTGGTCGCTGTTCTGGATTTGAAATTTTAATGTTGTAGCGATGATTCTGCTCTCTCTTCCTCCGATTGCCTTAAAATTTAATTTCAGTCTTTCAATTTTATGCGTAGTTTGGTCGCTCTTCTGGATTTGAAATTTTTAGGGTACAGCCGGCTGTTCAGATTTGGGGGTTCACTTGAAAACTTCATAGGTTATTCATATTTAGGGGTTAAAAAATAATTCAAGTGAACAAAATAAAATGATCCAGTGGTCAAAAGAAGCTAAAAAGGATATAATAAGGCATTCCAATTGATAGCATCCTCTGATTAAGTTATCAATTGTGACATATATGTAGATTCTTCTCTATACAAACGTTTTACCGATTTGAACTTCAGTTCTCAGTGTTTTATGTTTTCAATGTGTGAATTAACCCTGCAAATTTAAGGACGAACTTTGTTTTATTTTTTAATAAGTTTAGAGTTAATTTTTTTGACATTTTCTCTGCATTACATTTTTTTTAAAGGTAGAAGAAAGAATTTGGTCAGCTGAAGAGGAAAAGGCAGAGTCTAAGAAAGAATTTGGTGCAGAGTCTAAAAAGATGTAAGTTTCTGATGGAAGTGAATTTCAAATGTGAAAATTCCTAGAAAGTTTTTGTCTTGCTAGCTTGTGTCAGGTGAAAAAATGTGGAAAAATTTTCAAAGTTGATATTTGTGCACGAGAGATATAGATTGGCCTATCAAATTTGGATCATGTAAATATTATTTTAGATGATTCTATTCACACACTTCAATTCTTAAGAATAACACGCTAGAATCAGTTCTATTTACAGGTCAAACTTTAACAAAAAAATGTTCATGGTTTCAAATTATCCACGTCTCATTGGTTTGTTATTATTGCACATATTTCCTTTGCTAATGCAGAAGATTTTGGTTAGTAACTATGTTGTGGAAATTTCAGATGGAAATGGTGGACATTATGGAGATAAATAAAGTTGAGGTCATTCTACGAGGAATCCCACTCCGATTGCTACTTTGAACACTCCATAATGTAAGAATTTTCTATTTGACATCATGAACTACCATATATCCGGTCTGGTTCTCGCAGGAATTACATTTTTGGCAATGTTGTGGTCCTAATAAGGTTAGATTCCTAAGTTTAACTTTTATTATGTCTTTGTTTTTCTTTTTTGATGTTCTTTGTGCTTCCGATATCACGTTTTTATTCTTTTAAACTACAATAAAGGATTTAATGAATGTTAAAGTCAAAGAGGTTCATGAGTAAGGAATTAAATTGCATCTTTTGTTTTATGAACTTTTTAGGTAGTTATGAATAGATCCTTGTGAAGCTTTCATTAAGATCAAATAAAAGAATACAAGAGGAACACTAGAAAACCATCCCAAGAGGAACCCAATTGACCTATAAAAGTGCTCAAATCAAGCAAAATAAAACCTTAAGGACAGTTTAAAAGAAACGGGTGTCATGTCCCAAGAGGATCCCAATTGACCTAAAAAGATACTCCAATTAAACAAAATAAGATTTAGAGGTAATTACAAAATATTATACACACTCCCCAGAGGTGTGATCTAATAAGGCTTCACTGCACCCCAAGAACTTCCAATCCTTTCCTATTGTTTCTTTCAACATAAAGATTCCATAAAATTTCAAGAAAGTGGATGAAGAAGAAGCTCTTCCACCGTAGGAGAGATGATCCAGATATTTTGATATGAACTAAGAGACATCAATCATACAATATGCTTCAATGAAGATGTGAAGAAAATATTGTTGAAATTATCAAAAGATATTTCAATTCATGCCACATTGAAGAAGAATGAAGTTTCATGTTATAAATTTTGGGTAGATTATAATTTAGAATAATTTAGATTTATTGTATTTCATTAATGTATTTTAAGACTTTTTATTTACTTTAGGTTACAATACATAATTGGTTATTTATGAACATTCAGTTTGTAGGTAGACTTGAAAAATATAGTAAAAGGAGCATTTGTGCTTTCTTTAGCCAATGGCTAAGTTTCTTTGCGATTCTATGTAGTTTAGGTTGCATGTAGAATCATTCAAGCTCAACATGATCAATCTTGCTTGTGGAGTGATTCGAATCTCAAGCAAGTGTTCTTTGCCTTGAGATATTTGATTAACAAGAATCATTCAAGCTAGACATGATCGATCTTGCTTGTAGGGTGATTCAAATCTCAAACAATGTTCTTGTCTTGAGATATTCGATCAACAAGGTAGTCCGACCGATCATGTTGATCGAATAATATCCGATCGGATTACCTTGTTGATCGAATATCTTAAGACAAGAACATTGTTTGAGATTTGAATCACTCCACAAGCAAGATCGATCATGTCTAGCTTGAATGATTCTTGTTGATCTATCTCAAGACACTTGCTTGAGATTTGAATCACTCCACAAGCAAGATTGATCATATCGAGCTTGAATGATTCTACATGCAATCTAAACTACATAGAATTGCAAATAAACTTAGTTATTGGCTAAAGAAAGCACAAATGCTCCTTTTACTATATTTTTCAAGTCTCCCTACAAATACAACATACATGGCTTTATATAGTCTCATAATGAAACTACTAAAGTCATTCCAAGAGTTGTAACATTCATACTTAATGACCATAATTAACCATTATGTAATTGTAACCTAAAGTAAATAAAAAGTCTTAAAATACATTAATAAAATACAATAAATCTAAATTATTCTAAATTGTAATCCACCCAAAATTTATAACATAAAACTTCATTCTTCTTCAATGTGGCATGAATTGAAATATCTTTTGATGATTTCAACAATATTTTCTTCACATCTTCATTGAAACATATTGTATGATTGATGTCTCTTGATTCATATCATCCTTAGTCATTCCTTACAAAAGATACAACACTAGGGCCTATTCTAAAGTGGTGAATTCCTTTTTGTGTACAGAGTTTTTGTGATTTTTTTGAATTAGAGATAATGATCAAGCAACTAAGCAAGGGCAAGGAGGTTTGTTTTACGGAAAATGAGAAAAAGGGGTTGTAAAGATTTGTAAATTGGATGAATCATTAAGATGATGGATGAAGGCACTTCTTAGATTTGTCTCAATGAGTTTCCGTGATGATTTAAATGAAAAAATACCACTAGGCATTATGCACATAAAGGAGGAAACATTATGTGTACTGTGGTAGACGTGGGGGTATGAATAGACCATTCAAAAGTGAAGAATTGTTGTAATTAAGGAATAAGATGTATTATGCCATGAAAGAATTTGAATTAAGGACGATTGGAAAGTGAAGAATTGTTGAATCGAGGAATGAGAGATCACATAAGAGGTTTGTGAAATTTTAGAGGAAGTAATTGGTACGGAAGAAAAGTTTAATTGCTTTTTAGTCTATAAGTGGGATAAAGGATAATCTTTTAGATTTTTTTGAGTGTGAAGGTTATGTATGGAAGGAAGATAAGTTTAGATACGAGAATTTTGGGTTGAAGTATGTGATTGGAGTCCCAACTTTTTGAGAATGGACGATCTTTTGAAGTTTCTAAGTTGAATTGTTATGCATGAAAAGGACGGAAGAAAGTTAAATTTGGATACAAATTTTGGTTTAAAGTATGTAAGGAAGGAAGAAAGATGAAGTTACAAGTTAGAACGGTCTATAGGTTTCCTCGAAGAATTAGATGAGATGATATCCTTATATAAAAGGAATACGATCCATTTAGTGTGGTAAATTAATTTGTTAGTATCAAAGAATCAGAAGTATAAAACATTTGAAAAAAAAGGACAATTGGAAAGAAGAATTCTGAATCAAGGAATAAGGGTTCACAAAAATTAGTTGGTGAAATTTGAGAGGGAGGAAGCAATAGAATAAAAGAATTTGCTTAATTGGTTCTAAAGAAAGGTTAAATTAAACCGTATTTGGTTTACAAGTTAGATAACGGGTAATATTTTGGACTTTTTGAGTTTGATGGTTATGTATGAAAGGAGGGAAGGAAGATAAGTTAAGTTAAGAGCAGTCAAGTATGCTACTTACAGAGTCTTTGTACTCATTTTAAGAAGTTGACCGAGGTTGGAAGTAGATTTGGAGCCGGTGCCATATAGAGCCATTCAACTGTTTAATGTTTTAAATTGTTTTATTAACGGGGCCCAATGTATTTAAACTCATAAAATTTATTTTATGTTTTTGTTTTAAACGGAATTTTTTTTTACTGTTTTCTTTTCTTTGTCTTTTCAAGTTTTTTATATAGTCACGACTCGTGACAGAGTAATATCAAAGTAAAGGTTCTTTATGGCCCTGCTCGAGAGATGCTCCACCACAATCAAGAATGAACATCATTAAGAGTTTAAGATAAGGATGCCAAAGGCTTTATGTGTTTGATTAACTTTAGGGTTACTATACAAGCTAAGATAACCTTGGGGACAGAGGACAAGTAGTAACCCTAAGAGTTCATAACACCAAGATGAAAGAACTAAGACATTAGGCCCTCGTAAAAAGGATGGTCTCAAGAGAAAGCAATCTTTACTAGGTGAAGAGTTGTTTCAAGGATTACGAAACTTAGTAACACCAAGGAAAGAAGGACTTGAGACCCTAGGAACCCATTAAGCCTGGTATAAGAAGGAATAAGAGAAGTCTCTAAGATACAACCTTGAAGGAAAAAAGTTGATTATGTCAAAACTTGTTGGGTACAAGAAATGAAATATGCTCTAAGCTATAAGAAAAAAAACACCAGGATGACCAAGAAAGACTTGTAAGCTCAACAAAAGATGTTTAGAAGACGATAAAAAAAAAAAAAAAAAAAAAAAAAAAAAAAAAAAAAAAAAAAAAAAAAAAAAAAAAAAAAAAAAAAAAAAAAAAAAAAAAAAAACCCAGAATAAGTATGTGGCCTTGAGGAAGGACAAAAGGCCACAAGGGAAAATTAGAAAAACGTGTGGAAGGAGGACAAACCCATGCAAAAGGACCCTCAAGGAACTTGGAAGGACATAACTAAGATCAAGAACTACCCTAAGGCATGAAAAGAAAAGTGAGCATTCAAGGACAAAAGTTTTTAAGAAGGGGAGAATTTGTAAGAGATCAAGTATGATTAAGAAATACTTGGGTAAGTTTAAGGTGCCCAAAAAAAGGAATAAGGGATATAAAAAAGGATTAAGAGACGGTAGAAAGGTTAATGGGCCAAAGGAGATTTTCAATGCCCTAGCAATGAATTATAAGGATTCAAGCCTTTGAAAAAGAAATAGTATTTACTCTAAGAAAATAAGGAAAGACGGAAAGGAGTTAAGACCCTAAGAGCCCAAGATATAAGGAAGAACATAAAAATGACCAAGAAAGACTTGTAATCTCAATAAAGGATGTTGTAAGACTTTCAAGAAGAACAAATACGAGATTAAGTACATGGCCTTAAGTTAGGACAAAAGGCCACAAGGGCAAATTGGAAAAACATGTGGGAGAAGGACATACCCTTGCAAGGGAACCCTCAAGTATTTTCAAGGACATAACTAAGACCAAGAACTCCCCCAAGCCATGGTAAGGAAAGTGAACTTTCAAGGATGAATGTTTTTAAGAGGGGAGAATTTTTAAGAGACCTAGTAAGATGAAGAGATCTTCGAGTAAGTTTAGGGTGTCCAAAAAAGATTTAAGGGATCCAAAAAAAGGATTAAAAGACACAAAAATGGTGGTTAATTGGCTAAAGGAAGAGTTTGTCAATGCCCTAGAGGAATGATAAGGATTCAAGACTTTAAAAAAGAAATAGCATTTACTCCCAAGGAAAGGACTTAAGTCCCTAAGAGCCCACCAATTAGCCTTGTTCAAGAAGGAAGAAGAGAAGTCTCTATGATGCAACCTTGAAGGAACAAGGTTGATTATGGCAAAACTTGTTGGGTACAAGGAAAGAAATATGCTCCAAGATATAAGGAAGAACATAAAAATGACCAAGAAAGACTTGTAATCTCAACAAAGGATGTTGAAAGACTTTCAAGAAGAACAAATACGAGATTAAGTACATGGCCTTAAGTTAGGACAAAAGGCCACAAGGGCAAATTGGAAAAACATGTGGGAGAAGGACATACCCTTGCAAGGGAACCCTCAAGTATTTTCAAGGACATAACTAAGACCAAGAACTCCCCCAAGCCATGGTAAGGAAAGTGAACTTTCAAGGATGAATGTTTTTAAGAGGGGAGAATTTTTAAGAGACCTAGTAAGATGAAGAGATCTTCGAGTAAGTTTAGGGTGTCCAAAAAAGATTTAAGGGATCCAAAAAAAGGATTAAAAGACACAAAAATGGTGGTTAATTGGCTAAAGGAAGAGTTTGTCAATGCCCTAGAGGAATGATAAGGATTCAAGACTTTAAAAAAGAAATAGCATTTACTCCCAAGGAAAGGACTTAAGTCCCTAAGAGCCCACCAATTAGCCTTGTTCAAGAAGGAAGAAGAGAAGTCTCTATGATGCAACCTTGAAGGAACAAGGTTGATTATGGCAAAACTTGTTGGGTACAAGGAAAGAAATATGCTCCAAGATATAAGGAAGAACATAAAAATGACCAAGAAAGACTTGTAATCTCAACAAAGGATGTTGAAAGACTTTCAAGAAGAACAAATACGAGATTAAGTACATGGCCTTAAGTTAGGACAAAAGGCCACAAGGGAAAATTGGAAAAACATGTCGGAGAAGGACATACCCTTGCAAGGAGACCCTCAAGGTATTTGGAAGGACATAACTAAGACCAAGAACTACCCCAAGCCATGGTAAGGAAAGTGAACTTTCAAGGATGAAAGTTTTTAAGAGGGGGAGAACTTGTAAAAGACCAAGTAAGATGAAGAAATCTTCGAGTAAGTTTAGGGTGTCCAAGAATGGATTAAGGGATCCAAAAAAAGGATTAAAAGACTCAAGAATGGTTAATGGGTCAAAGGAAGAGATTGTCAATGCCCTAAAGGAATGATAAGGATTCAAGATTTTGAAAAAGAAATAGCATTTACTCCCAAGGAAAGGACTTAAGACCCTACGAGCCCACCAATTAGCCTTTTTCAAGAAGGAAGAAGAGAAGTCTCTATGATGCAACCTTGAAGGAACAAGGTTGATTATGGCAATACTTGTTGGGTACAAGGAAGGAAATATGCTCCAAGATATAAGGAAGAACATAAAAATGACCAAGAAAGACTTGTAATCTCAACAAAGGATGTTGAAAGACTTTCAAGAAGAACAAATACGAGATTAAGTACATGGCCTTAAGTTAGGACAAAAGGCCACAAGGGCAAATTGGAAAAACATGTCGGAGAAGGACATACCCTTGCAAGGAGACTCTCAAGGTATTTGGAAGGACATAACTAAGACCAAGAACTACCCCAAGCCATGGTAAGGAAAGTGAACTTTCAAGGATGAAAGTTTTTAAGAGGGGGAGAACTTGTAAAAGACCAAGTAAGATGAAGAAATCTTCGAGTAAGTTTAGGGTGTCCAAGAATGGATTAAGGGATCCAAAAAAAGGATTAAAAGACTCAAGAATGGTTAATGGGTCAAAGGAAGAGATTGTCAATGCCCTAAAGGAATGATAAGGATTCAAGATTTTGAAAAAGAAATAGCATTTACTCCCAAGGAAAGGACTTAAGACCCTACGAGCCCACCAATTAGCCTTTTTCAAGAAGGAAGAAGAGAAGTCTCTATGATGCAACCTTGAAGGAACAAGGTTGATTATGACAATACTTGTTGGGTACAAGGAAGGAAATATGCTCCAAGATATAAGAAAGAACATAAAAATGACCAAGAAAGACTTGTAATCTCAACAAAGGATGTTGAAAGACTTTCAAAAAGAACAAATACGAGATTAAGTACATGGCCTTAAGTTAGGACGAAAGGCCACAAGGGCAAATTGGAAAAACACAAATACGAGATTAAGTACATGGCCTTAAGTTAGGACGAAAGGCCACAAGGGCAAATTGGAAAAACATGTCGGAGAAGGACATACCCTTGCAAAGGGACCCTCAAGGTACTTGGAAAGACATAACTAAGACCAAGAACTCCCCCAAGCCATGGTAAGAAAAGTGAACTTTCGAGGATGAAAGTTTTTAAGAGGCGAGAATTTGTAAGAGACCTAGTAAGATGAAGAGATCTTCGAGCAAGTTTAGGGTGTCCAAAAAAGAATTAAGGGATCCAAAAAAAGGATTAAAAGACACAAGAATGGTGGTTAATTGCCCAAAGGAAGAGATTGTCAATGCCCTAAAGGAATGATAAGGTTTCAAGGATTTGAAAAAGAAATAGCATTTACTCCCAAGGATTGGACTTAAGACCCTAGGAGCCCACCAATTAGCCTTGTTCAAGAAGGAAGAAGAGAAGTCTCTATGATGCAACCTTGAAGGAACAAGGTTGATTATGGCAAAACTTGTTGGGTACAAGGAAGGAAATATGCTCCAAGATATAAGGAAGAACATAAAAATGACCAAGAAAGACTTGTAATCTCAACAAAGGATGTTGTAAGACTTTCAAGAAGAACAAATACGAGATTAAGTACATGGCCTTAAGTTAGGACAAAAGGCCACAAGGGCAAATTGGAAAAACATGTGGGAGAAGGACATACCCTTGCAAGGGAACCCTCAAGGTATTTTCAAGGACATAACTAAGACCAAGAACTCCCCCAAGCCATGGTAAGGAAAGTGAACTTTCAAGGATGAATGTTTTTAAGAGGGGAGAAATTGTAAGAGACCTAGTAAAATGGAAAGCTCTTCGAATAAGTTTAGGGTGTCCAAAAAAGAATTAAGGGATCCAAAAAAAGGATTAAAAGATACAAGAATGGTGGTTAATTGGCCAAAGGAAGAGATTGTCAATGCCCTAAAGGAATGATAAGGATTCAAGGCTTTGAAAAAGAAATAGCATTTACTCCCATCGAAAGGACTTAAGACCTTAAGAGCCCACCAATTAGCCTTGTTCAAGAAGGAAGAAGAGAAGTCTCTATGATGCAACCTTGAAGGAACAAGGTTGATTATTGCAAAACTTGTTGGGTACAAGGAAGGAAATATGCTCCAAGATATAAGGAAGAACATAAAAATGACCAAGAAAGACTTGTAATCACAACAAAGGATGTTGAAAGACTTTCAAGAAGAACAAATACGAGATTAAGTACATGCCCTTAAGTTAGGACAAAAGGCCACAAGGGCAAATTGGAAAAACATGTCGGAGAAGGACATACCCTTGCAAGGAGACTCTCAAGGTATTTGGAAGGACATAACTAAGACCAAGAACTACCCCAAGCCATGGTAAGGAAAGTGAACTTTCAAGGATGAAAGTTTTTAAGAGGGGGAGAACTTGTAAAAGACCAAGTAAGATGAAGAAATCTTCGAGTAAGTTTAGGGTGTCCAAGAATGGATTAAGGGATCCAAAAAAAGGATTAAAAGACTCAAGAATGGTTAATGGGCCAAAGGAAGAGATTGTCAATGCCATGAAGGAATGATAAGGATTCAAGATTTTGAAAAAGAAATAGCATTTACTCCCAAGGAAAGGACATAAGACCCTACGAGCCCACCAATTTGTCTTTTTCAAGAAGGAAGAAGAGAAGTCTCTATGATGCAACCTTGAAGGAACAAGGTTCATTATGGCAATACTTGTTGGGTACAAGGAAGGAAATATGCTCCAAGATATAAGGAAGAACATAAAAATGACCAAGAAATACTTGTAATCACAACAAAGGATGTTGAAAGACTTTCAAGAAGAACAAATACGAGATTAAGTACATGGCCTTAAGTTAGGACAAAAGGCCACAAGGGCAAATTGGAAAAACATGTCGGAGAAGGACATACCCTTGCAAGGAGACCCTCAAGGTATTTGGAAGGACATAACTAAGACCACGAACTACCCCAAGCCATGGTAAGGAAAGTGAACTTTCAAGGATGAAAGTTTTTAAGAGGGGGAGAATTTTTAAGAGACCTAGTAAGATGAAGAAATCTTCGAGTAAGTTTAGGGTGTCAAAGAATGGATTAAGGGATCTAAAAATAGGATTAAAAGACTCAAGAATGGTTAATGGGCCAAAGGAAGAGATTGTCAATGCCCTAAAGGAATGATAAGGTTTCAAGGCTTTGAAAAAGAAATGGCATTTACTCCCAAGGAAATGACTTAAGACCCCACGAGCCCACCAATTAGCCTTTTTCAAGAAGGAAGAAGAGAAGTCTCTATGACGCAACCTTGAAGGAACAAGGTTGATTAAGGCAAAACTTGTTGGGTACAAGTAAGGAAATATGCTTCAAGATATAAAGAAGAACATAAAAATGACCAAGAAAGACTTGTAATCTCAACAAAGGATGTTGAAAGACTTTCAAGAAGAACAAATACGAGATTAAGTACATGGCCTTAAGTTAGGACAAAAGGCACAAGGGCAAATTGAAAAAAAAAGTGGGAGAAGGACATACCCTTTCAAGGGGACCCTCAAGGTACTTGGGAAGACATAACTAAGACCAAGAACTCCCCCAAGCCATGGTAAGAAAAGTGAACTTTCAAGGATGAAAGTTTTTAATTGAGGTGAATTTTTAAGAGACCTAGTAAGATGAAGAGATCTTCGAGTAAGTTTAGGGCGTCCAAGAATGGATTAAGGGATCCAAAAAAAAGGATTAAAAGACACATGAATGGTGGTTAATTGGCCAAAGGAAGAGTTTGTCAATGCCCTAAAGGAATGATAAGGATTCAAGGCTTTGAGAAAGAAATAGCATTTACTCCCAAGGAAAGGACTTAAGACCCTAAGAGCCCACCAATTAACCTTGTTCAAGAAGGAAGAAGAGAAGTCTCTATGATGCAACCTTGAAGGAACAAGGTTGATTATGGCAAAACTTGTTGGGTACAAGGAAGGAAATATGCTCCAAGATATAAGAAAGAACATAAAAATGACTAAGAAAGACTTGTAATCTCAACAAAGGATGTTGAAAGACTTTCAAGAAGAACAAATACGAGATTAAGTACATGGCCTTAAGTTAGGACAAAAGGCCACAAGGGCAAATTGGAAAAACATGTCGTAGAGATTAAGTACATGGCCTTAAGTTAGGACAAAAGGCCACAAGGGCAAATTGGAAAAACATGTCGTAGAAGGACATACCCTTGCAAGGAGACCCTCAAGGTATTTGGAAGGACATAACTAAGACCAAGAACTACCCCAAGCCATGGTAAGGGAAATGAACTTTAAAGGATGAAAGTTTTTAAGAGGTGGAGAACTTGTAAAAGACCAAGTAAGATGAAGAAATCTTCGAGTAAGTTTAGGGTGTCCAAGAATGGATTAAGGGATCCAAAAAAAGGATTAAAACACTCAAGAATGGTTAATGGGCCAAAGGAAGAGATTGCCAATGCCCTAAAGGAATGATAAGGATTCAAGATTTTGAAAAAGAAATAGCATTTACTCTCAAGGAAAGGACTTAAGACCCTACGAGCCCACCAATTAGCCTTTTTCAAGAAGGAAGAAGAGAAGTCTCTATGATGCAACCTTGAAGGAACAAGGTTGATTATGGCAATACTTGTTAGGTACAAGGAAGGAAATATGTTCCAAGATATAAGGAAGAACATAAAAATGACCAAGAAAGACATGTAATCTCAACAAAGGATGTTGAAAGACTTTCAAGAAGAACAAATACGAGATTAAGTACACAGCAGAATTGACCGATGGTAGTTGGTCGAAGCTCCAGTAGGTAGCCTTAAGTTAGGACAAAAGGCCACAAGGGCAAATTGGAAAAACATGTGGGAGAAGGACATACCCTTGCTAGGAGACCCTCAAGGTATATGGAAGGACATAACTAAGACCAAGAACCAAGCCATGGTAAGGAAAGTGAACTTTCAAGGATGAAAGTTTTTAAGAGGGGGAGAATTTTTAAGAGACCTAGTAAGATGAAGAAATCTTCGAGTAAGTTTAGGGTGTCAAAGAATGGATTAAGGGATCCAAAAATAGGATTAAAAGACTCAAGAATGGTTAATGGGCCAAAGGAAGAGATTGTCAATGCCCTAAAGGAATGATAAGGTTTCAAGGCTTTGAAAAAGAAATGGCATTTACTCCCAAGGAAATGACTTAAGACCCCACGAGCCCACCAATTAGCCTTTTTCAAGAAGGAAGAAGAGAAGTCTCTATGACGCAACCTTGAAGGAACAAGGTTGATTAAGGCAAAACTTGTTGGGTACAAGTAAGGAAATATGCTTCAAGATATAAAGAAGAACATAAAAATGACCAAGAAAGACTTGTAATCTCAATAAAGGATGTTGAAAGACTTTCAAGAAGAACAAATACGAGATTAAGTACATGGCCTTAAGTTAGGACATAAGGCCACAAGGGCAAATTGTTAAAACATGTGGGAGAAGGACATACCCTTGCCAGGGGAGCCTCAAGGTACTTGGAAGGACATAACTAAGACCAAGAACTCCCCCAAGCCATGGTAAGAAAAGTGAACTTTCAAGGATGAAAGTTTTTAAGAGAGGAGAATTTTTAAGAGACCTAGTAAGATGAAGAGATCTTCGAGTAAGTTCAGGGTGTCCAAAAAAGAATTAAGGGATCTAAAAAAAGGATTAAAAGACACAAGAATGGTGGTTAATTGGCCAAAGGAAGAGTTTGTCAATGCCCTAAAGGAATGATAAGGATTCAAGGCTTTGAAAAAGAAATAACATTTACTCCCAAGGAAAGGACTTAAGACCCTAAGAGCCCACCAATTAGCCTTGTTCAAGAAGGAAGAAGAGAAGTCTCTATGATGCAACCTTGAAGGAACAAGGTTGATTATGACAAAACTTGTTGGGTACAAAGAAGGAAATATGCTCCAAGATATAAGGAAGAACATAAAAATGACCAAGAAAGACTTGTAATCTCAACAAAGGATGTTGAAAGACTTTCAAGAAGAACAAATACGAGATTAAGTACATGGCCTTGTAATCTCAACAAAGGATGTTGAAAGACTTTCAAGAAGAACAAATACGAGATTAAGTACATGGCCATAAGTTAGGACAAAAGGCCACAAGGGCAAACTGGAAAAACATATGGGAGAAGGACATACCCTTGCAAGGGGTTCCTCAAGGTACTTGGAAGGACATAACTAAGACCAAGAACTCCCCCAAGCCATGGTAAGAAAAGTGAACTTTCAAGGATGAAAGTTTTTTACAGAGGTGAGTTTTTAAGAGACCTAGTAAAATGAAGAGATCTTCGAGTAAGTTCAGGGTGTCCAAAAAGAATTAAGGGATTCAAAAGAAGGATTAAAAGACACAAGAATGGTGGTTAATTGGCCAAAGGAAGAGATTGTCAATGCCCTAAAGGAATGATAAGGATTCAAGGCTTTGAAAAAGAAATAGCATTTACTCCCAAGGAAAGGACTTAAGACCCTAAGAGCCCACCAATTAGCCTTGTTCAAGAAGGAAGAAGAGATGTCTCTATGATGCAACGTTGAAGGAACAAGGTTGATTATGGCAAAACTTGTTGGGTACAAGGAAGGAAATATGCTCCAAGATATAAGGAAGAACATAAAAATGACCAAGAAAGACTTGTAATCTCAACAAAGGATGTTGTAAGACTTTCAAGAAGAACAAATACGAGATTAAGTACATGGCCTTAAGTTAGGACAAAAGGCCACAAGGGCAAATTGGAAAAACATGTGGGAGAAGGACATACCCTTGCAAGGGAACCCTCAAGGTATTTTCAAGGACATAACTAAGACCAAGAACTCCCCCAAGCCATGGTAAGGAAAGTGAACTTTCAAGGATGAATGTTTTTAAGAGGGGAGAAATTGTAAGAGACCTAGTAAATTGGAAACATCTTCGAATAAGTTTAGGGTGTCCAAAAAAGAATTAAGGGATCCAAAAAAAGGATTAAAAGATACAAGAATGGTGGTTAATTGGCCAAAGGAAGAGATTGTCAATGCCCTAAAGGAATGATAAGGATTCAAGGCTTTGAAAAAGAAATAGCATTTACTCCCATCGAAAGGACTTAAGACCCTAAGAGCCCACCAATTAGCCTTGTTCAAGAAGGAAGAAGAGAAGTCTCTATGATGCAACCTTGAAGGAACAAGGTTGATTATTGCAAAACTTGTTGGGTACAAGGAAGGAAATATGCTCCAAGATATAAGGAAGAACATAAAAATGACCAAGAAAGACTTGTAATCACAACAAAGGATGTTGAAAGACTTTCAAGAAGAACAAATACGAGATTAAGTACATGCCCTTAAGTTAGGACAAAAGGCCACAAGGGCAAATTGGAAAAACATGTCGGAGAAGGACATACCCTTGCAAGGAGACTCTCAAGGTATTTGGAAGGACATAACTAAGACCAAGAACTACCCCAAGCCATGGTAAGGAAAGTGAACTTTCAAGGATGAAAGTTTTTAAGAGGGGGAGAACTTGTAAAAGACCAAGTAAGATGAAGAAATCTTCGAGTAAGTTTAGGGTGTCCAAGAATGGATTAAGGGATCCAAAAAAAGGATTAAAAGACTCAAGAATGGTTAATGGGCCAAAGGAAGAGATTGTCAATGCCATGAAGGAATGATAAGGATTCAAGATTTTGAAAAAGAAATAGCATTTACTCCCAAGGAAAGGACATAAGACCCTACGAGCCCACCAATTAGTCTTTTTCAAGAAGGAAGAAGAGAAGTCTCTATGATGCAACCTTGAAGGAACAAGGTTCATTATGGCAATACTTGTTGGGTACAAGGAAGGAAATATGCTCCAAGATATAAGGAAGAACATTAAAATGACCAAGAAAGACTTGTAATCTCAACAAAGGATGTTGAAAGACTTTCAAAAAGAACAAATACGAGATTAAGTACATGGCCTTAAGTTAGGACGAAAGGCCACAAGGGCAATTTGGAAAAACATGTCGGAGAAGGACATACCCTTGCAAGGGGACCCTCAAGGTACTTGGAATGACATAACTAAGACCAAGAACTCCCCCAAGCCATGGTAAGAAAAGTGAACTTTCGAGGATGAAAGTTTGTAAGAGGGGAGAATTTGTAAGTCACCTAGTAAGATGAAGAGATCTTCGAGCAAGTATAGGGTGTCCAAAAAAGAATTAAGGGATCCAAAAAAAGGATTAAAAGACACAAGAATGGTGGTTAATTGGCCAAAGGAAGAGATTGTCAATGCCCTAAAGGAATGATAAGGATTCAAGGCTTTGAAAAAGAAATAGCATTTACTTCCAAGGATTGGACTTAAGACCCTAGGAGCCCACCAATTAGCCTTGTTCAAGAAAGAAGAAGAGAAGTCTCTATGATGCAACCTTGAAGGAACAAGGTTGATTATGGCAAAACTTGTTGGGTACAAGGAAGGAAATATGCTCCAAGATATAAGGAAGAACATAAAAATGACCAAGAAAGACTTGTAATCTCAACAAAGGATGTTGTAAGACTTTCAAGAAGAACAAATACGAGATTAAGTACATGGCCTTAAGTTAGGACAAAAGGCCACAAGGGCAAATTGGAAAAACATGTGGGAGAAGGACATACCCTTGCAAGGGAACCCTCAAGGTATTTTCAAGGACATAACTAAGACCAAGAACTCCCCCAAGCCATGGTAAGGAAAGTGAACTTTCAAGGATGAATGTTTTTAAGAGGGGAGAAATTGTAAGAGACCTAGTAAATTGGAAACATCTTCGAATAAGTTTAGGGTGTCCAAAAAAGAATTAAGGGATCCAAAAAAAGGATTAAAAGATACAAGAATGGTGGTTAATTGGCCAAAGGAAGAGATTGTCAATGCCCTAAAGGAATGATAAGGATTCAAGGCTTTGAAAAAGAAATAGCATTTACTCCCATCGAAAGGACTTAAGACCCTAAGAGCCCACCAATTAGCCTTGTTCAAGAAGGAAGAAGAGAAGTCTCTATGATGCAACCTTGAAGGAACAAGGTTGATTATTGCAAAACTTGTTGGGTACAAGGAAGGAAATATGCTCCAAGATATAAGGAAGAACATAAAAATGACCAAGAAAGACTTGTAATCACAACAAAGGATGTTGAAAGACTTTCAAGAAGAACAAATACGAGATTAAGTACATGCCCTTAAGTTAGGACAAAAGGCCACAAGGGCAAATTGGAAAAACATGTCGGAGAAGGACATACCCTTGCAAGGAGACTCTCAAGGTATTTGGAAGGACATAACTAAGACCAAGAACTACCCCAAGCCATGGTAAGGAAAGTGAACTTTCAAGGATGAAAGTTTTTAAGAGGGGGAGAACTTGTAAAAGACCAAGTAAGATGAAGAAATCTTCGAGTAAGTTTAGGGTGTCCAAGAATGGATTAAGGGATCCAAAAAAAGGATTAAAAGACTCAAGAATGGTTAATGGGCCAAAGGAAGAGATTGTCAATGCCATGAAGGAATGATAAGGATTCAAGATTTTGAAAAAGAAATAGCATTTACTCCCAAGGAAAGGACATAAGACCCTACGAGCCCACCAATTAGTCTTTTTCAAGAAGGAAGAAGAGAAGTCTCTATGATGCAACCTTGAAGGAACAAGGTTCATTATGGCAATACTTGTTGGGTACAAGGAAGGAAATATGCTCCAAGATATAAGGAAGAACATTAAAATGACCAAGAAAGACTTGTAATCTCAACAAAGGATGTTGAAAGACTTTCAAAAAGAACAAATACGAGATTAAGTACATGGCCTTAAGTTAGGACGAAAGGCCACAAGGGCAATTTGGAAAAACATGTCGGAGAAGGACATACCCTTGCAAGGGGACCCTCAAGGTACTTGGAATGACATAACTAAGACCAAGAACTCCCCCAAGCCATGGTAAGAAAAGTGAACTTTCGAGGATGAAAGTTTGTAAGAGGGGAGAATTTGTAAGTCACCTAGTAAGATGAAGAGATCTTCGAGCAAGTATAGGGTGTCCAAAAAAGAATTAAGGGATCCAAAAAAAGGATTAAAAGACACAAGAATGGTGGTTAATTGGCCAAAGGAAGAGATTGTCAATGCCCTAAAGGAATGATAAGGATTCAAGGCTTTGAAAAAGAAATAGCATTTACTTCCAAGGATTGGACTTAAGACCCTAGGAGCCCACCAATTAGCCTTGTTCAAGAAAGAAGAAGAGAAGTCTCTATGATGCAACCTTGAAGGAACAAGGTTGATTATGGCAAAACTTGTTGGGTACAAGGAAGGAAATATGCTCCAAGATATAAGGAAGAACATAAAAATGACCAAGAAAGACTTGTAATCTCAACAAAGGATGTTGTAAGACTTTCAAGAAGAACAAATACGAGATTAAGTACATGGCCTTAAGTTAGGACAAAAGGCCACAAGGGCAAATTGGAAAAACATGTGGGAGAAGGACATACCCTTGCAAGGGAACCCTCAAGGTATTTTCAAGGACATAACTAAGACCAAGAACTCCCCCAAGCCATGGTAAGGAAAGTGAACTTTCAAGGATGAATGTTTTTAAGAGGGGAGAAATTGTAAGAGACCTAGTAAATTGGAAACATCTTCGAATAAGTTTAGGGTGTCCAAAAAAGAATTAAGGGATCCAAAAAAAGGATTAAAAGATACAAGAATGGTGGTTAATTGGCCAAAGGAAGAGATTGTCAATGCCCTAAAGGAATGATAAGGATTCAAGGCTTTGAAAAAGAAATAGCATTTACTCCCATCGAAAGGACTTAAGACCCTAAGAGCCCACCAATTAGCCTTGTTCAAGAAGGAAGAAGAGAAGTCTCTATGATGCAACCTTGAAGGAACAAGGTTGATTATTGCAAAACTTGTTGGGTACAAGGAAGGAAATATGCTCCAAGATATAAGGAAGAACATAAAAATGACCAAGAAAGACTTGTAATCACAACAAAGGATGTTGAAAGACTTTCAAGAAGAACAAATACGAGATTAAGTACATGCCCTTAAGTTAGGACAAAAGGCCACAAGGGCAAATTGGAAAAACATGTCGGAGAAGGACATACCCTTGCAAGGAGACTCTCAAGGTATTTGGAAGGACATAACTAAGACCAAGAACTACCCCAAGCCATGGTAAGGAAAGTGAACTTTCAAGGATGAAAGTTTTTAAGAGGGGAGAATTTGTAAGTCACCTAGTAAGATGAAGAGATCTTCGAGCAAGTATAGGGTGTCCAAAAAAGAATTAAGGGATCCAAAAAAAGGATTAAAAGACACAAGAATGGTGGTTAATTGGCCAAAGGAAGAGATTGTCAATGCCCTAAAGGAATGATAAGGATTCAAGGCTTTGAAAAAGAAATAGCATTTACTCCCAAGGATTAGACTTAAGACCCTAGGAGCCCACCAATTAGCCTTGTTCAAGAAAGAAGAAGAGAAGTCTCTATGATGCAACCTTGAAGGAACAAGGTTGATTATGGCAAAACTTGTTGGGTACAAGGAAGGAAATATGCTCCAAGATATAAGGAAGAACATAAAAATGACCAAGAAAGACTTGTAATCTCAACAAAGGATGTTGTAAGACTTTCAAGAAGAACAAATACGAGATTAAGTACATGGCCTTAAGTTAGGACAAAAGGCCACAAGGGCAAATTGGAAAAACATGTGGGAGAAGGACATACCCTTGCAAGGGAACCCTCAAGGTATTTTCAAGGACATAACTAAGACCAAGAACTCCCCTAAGCCATGGTAAGGAAAGTGAACTTTCAAGGATGAATGTTTTTAAGAGGGGAGAAATTGTAAGAGACCTAGTAAATTGGAAACATCTTCGAATAAGTTTAGGGTGTCCAAAAAAGAATTAAGGGATCCAAAAAAAGGATTAAAAGACACAAGAATGGTGGTTAATTGGCCAAAGGAAGAGATTGTCAATGCCTAATGGAATGATAAGGATTCAAGGCATTAAGAAAGAAATAGCATTTACTACCAAGGAAAGGACTTTAAGACCCTAAGAGACCACCAATTAGGCTGTTCAAGAAGGAAGAAGAGAAGTCTCTATGATGCAACCTTAAAGGAACAAGGTTGATTACGGAAAAAGTTTTTGGGTCCAAGGAAGGAAATATGCTACAAGATATAAGAAAGAACATAAAAATGATCAAGAAAGACTTGTAATCTCAACAAAGGATGTTGTAAGACTTTCAAGAAGAACAAATACGAGATTAAGTACATGGCCTTAAGTTAGGACAAACGGCCACAAGGGCAAATTGGAAAAACATGTCGGAGAAGGACATACCCTTGCTAGGGGACCCTCAAGTTTAAGGACATAACTAAGACCCAGAACTCCCCCAAGCCATGGTAAGGAAAGTGAACTTTCAAGGATGAAAGTTTTTAAGAGGGGAGAGTTTGTAAGAGACCTAGTAAAATGAAGAGATCTTCAAGTAAGTTTAGGGGGTCCAAGAAAGGATTAAGGGATCCAAAAAAAAGATTAAAAGACACCAGAATGGTTAACTAGCCCAAGGAAGAGATTGTCAATGCCCTAAAGGAATGATAAGGATTCAAGGCTTTGAAAAAGAAATAGCATTTACTCCCAAGGATTAGACTTAAGACCCTAGGAGCCCACCAATTAGCCTTGTTCAAGAAAGAAGAAGAGAAGTCTCAATGATGCAACCTTGAAGGAACAAGGTTCATTATGGCAAAACTTGTTGGGTACAAGGAAGGAAATATGCTCCAAGATATAAGGAAGAACATAAAAATGACCAAGAAAGACTTGTAATCTCAACAAAGGATGTTGTAAGACTTTCAAGAAGAACAAATACGAGATTAAGTACATGGCCTTAAGTTAGGACAAAAGGCCACAAGGGCAAATTGGAAAAACATGTGGGAGAAGGACATACCCTTGCAAGGGAACCCTCAAGGTATTTTCAAGGACATAACTAAGACCAAGAACTCCCCTAAGCCATGGTAAGGAAAGTGAACTTTCAAGGATGAATGTTTTTAAGAGGGGAGAAATTGTAAGAGACCTAGTAAATTGGAAACATCTTCGAATAAGTTTAGGGTGTCCAAAAAAGAATTAAGGGATCCAAAAAAAGGATTAAAAGACACAAGAATGGTGGTTAATTGGCCAAAGGAAGAGATTGTCAATGCCTAATGGAATGATAAGGATTCAAGGCATTAAGAAAGAAATAGCATTTACTACCAAGGAAAGGACTTAAGACCCTAAGAGACCACCAATTAGGCTGTTCAAGAAAGGAAGAAGAGAAGTCTCTATGATGCAACCTTAAAGGAACAAGGTTGATTACGGAAAAAGTTTTTGGGTCCAAGGAAGGAAATATGCTACAAGATATAAGAAAGAACATAAAAATGATCAAGAAAGACTTGTAATCTCAACAAATGATGTTGAAAGACTTTCAAGAAGAACAAATACGAGATTAAGTACATGGCCTTAAGTTAGGACAAACGGCCACAAGGGCAAATTGGAAAAACATGTCGGAGAAGGACATACCCTTGCTAGGGGACCCTCAAGGTTAAGGACATAACTAAGACCCAGAACTCCCCCAAGCCATGGTAAGGAAAGTGAACTTTCAAGGATGAAAGTTTTTAAGAGGGGAGAGTTTGTAAGAGACCTAGTAAAATGAAGAGATCTTCAAGTAAGTTTAGGGGGTCCAAGAAAGGATTAAGGGATCCAAAAAAAAGATTAAAAGACACCAGAATGGTTAACTAGCCCAAGGAAGAGATTGTCAATGCCCTAAAGGAATGATAAGGATTCAAGGCTTTGAAAAAGAAATAGCATTTACTCCCAAGGAAAGGACTTAAGACCCTAAGAGCCCACCAATTAGCCTTGTTCAAGAAGGAACAAGAAGTCTCTAAGATGCAACCTTGAAGGAACAAGGTTGATTATGGCAAAACTTGTTGGGTACAAGGAAGGAAATATGCTCCAAGATATAAGGAAGAATATAAAAATTACCAAGAAAGACTTGTAATCTCAACAAAGGATGTTGAAAGACTTTTCAGAAGAACAAATACGAGAATAAGTACATGGCCTTAAGTTAGGACAAAAGGCCATAAGGGAAATTGGAAAAACATGTCGGAGAAGGACATACCCTTGCAAGGAGACCCTCAAGGTACTTTGAAGGACATAACTAAGACCAAGAACTCCCCCAAGCCATGGTAAGAAAAGTGAACTTTCAAGGACAAAAGTTTTTAAGAGGGGGAAAATTTGTAAGAGACCAAGTAAGATGAAGAGATTTTCAAGTAAGTTGAGGGTGTCCAAGAAAGAATTAAAGGATAAAAAAAAAAAGGATTAAAAGACACAAGAATGGTTATCTGGCCAAAGGAAGAGATTGCCAATGCTCTACAGGAATGATAAGGATTCACGCTTTTGAAAAAGAAATAGCAGTTACTCCCAAGGAAATGACTTAAGACCCTAAGAGCCCACCAATTAGCCTTATTCAAGAAGGAACAAGAGAAGGCTTTATGATGCAACCTTGAAGGAACAAGATTGATTCTGGTAAAACCTTTTGGGTACAAGGAAAAAAATATGTTCGAAGATAATAAGGAACAACATAGAGATGACCAAGAAAGACTTGTAATCTCAACAAAGAATGTTGAAAAGACTGCTAAGAAGAACAAATACGAGAATAAGTACATGGTCGTTAGGTAGGACAAAAGGCCACAAGGGTAAATTCGAAAAATATGTCGGAGAAGGACATACCCTTGCAAGGGGACCCTCAAGGTACTTGGAAGGACATAACTAAGACCAAGAACTCCCTCAAGTCATGATAAGAAAAGTGAACGGTCGAGGACAACAGTTTTTAAGAGGGGGAGAATTTTTAAGAGACCAAGTAAGATGAAGAGATCTTCAGGTAAGTTGAGGGTGGCCAAGAAAGGATTAAGGGATCCAAAAAAAAAAAAAGGATTAAAAGACACAAGAATCATTAATTGGCCAAAGGTAGAGATTGCCAATGCCCTAAAGGAAGGATAAGGATTCAAGCCTTTGAAAAAGAAATAGCATTTACTCCTAAGGAAAGGACTTAAGACCCTAAGAGCCTGAGAGCCCCCAATAAGCCTTGATCAAAAAGGAACAAGAGAAGTCTCTAAGATGCAACCTTGAAGGAACAGGGTTGATTATGGCAAAATTTGTTGGGTACAAGGAAGGAAATATGCTCCAAGATATAAGGAACAACATAAAAATGACGAAAATAGACTTATAATCTCAACAAAAGATGTTGAAAAGACGGTCAAGAAAAGCAAATACCAGAATAAGTACATTGTCTTAAGATAGGACAAAAGGCCACAAGGGTAAATTGGAAAAACATGCCGGAGGACGTACCCTCTCAAGGGGACCCGCACGGTACTTGGAAGGACATAACTAAGACCAAGAACTCCCCCAAATCATGGTAAGAAAAGTGAACTTTTGAGGACAAGAGTTTTTAAGAGGGGGAGAATTTGTAAGAGACCAAGTAAGATGAAGAGATCTTAAGTAAGTTGAGGGTGTCCAAAAAAGGATTAAGGGATCCAAAAAAAGGATTAAAAGACAGAAGAATAGTTAATTGGCCAAAGGTAGAGATTGCCAATGCCCTAAAGGAATGATAAGAGTATGTCCTTTGACATTTTTATGTTATTCCTTATATTTTGGATCCCTTAATCCTTTCTTGGACATCGTCAACTTACCTTAAGATCTCTTCATCTTACTTGGTCTCTTACAAATTCTCCCCCTCTTAAAAACTTTTGTCCTCGAACTCACTTTACTTATCATGGCTTGGGGGAGTTTTTGGTTTTAGTTATGTCCTTCCAAGTACCTTGAGGGTCCCCTGTCAAGGGTATGTCCTTTCCCGACATGTTTTTCCAATTTTCCCTTGTGGCCTTTTGTCCTATCTTAAGACAATATACTTATTCTGGTATTTGCTTTTCTTGACCGTCTTTTCAACATCCTTTGTTGAAATTACAAGTCTATCTTGGTCATTTTTATGTTGTTCCTTATATCTTGGAGAATATTTCCTTCCTTGTACCCAACAAGTTTTGCCATAATCAACCCTGTTCCTTCAAGGTTGCATCTTAGAGACTTCTCTTGTTCCTTCTTGAACAAGGCTTATTGGTGGGCTCTTAGGGTCTTAAGTCCTTTTCTAGGGAGTATATGATATTTCTTTTTCAAAAGCTTGAATCCTTATCATTCCTTTAGGGCATTAAAAATCTCTACCTTTGGCCAATTAACCATTCTTCTATCTTTTAATTCTTTTTTTTTTTACCTTTGGCCAAGAACAAATACGACAGTAAGGATTCAAGCCTTTGAAAAAGAAATAGTATTATCTATTAAGGTTTAATTTAGGGCAAATGAATGAAGTATTGTGATGATGTAATTGGGTACTTTTGGAGAACGGTCTATAGGTTTCCTTGAAGAATTAAATTAGAGGAAATCCTTACTTAAAAGAGGAAAAAGATCCAGTTAGTGTTGTAAATGGAGGACTATATGTTTGAATAGACAATTGAAAAGTGACATTGTTGGAATCTAAGTACTAAGATATCATATGCCATAAAAAGTAGGAAAGGATTTGAATCAAGGACAATTGGAAAACAAAGAATTGTTGGAATCAAAAATCAGGGATGGTAAAAGGAGATTTATGAAATTTTAGAGGAAGAAAGTGCCGGAAGAAAAGAGTTTGGTCAATTAGTACTAAAGAAAAGTTAAATTGTATTTGATCTATTATCTTGAACAATTATAGGTACATAATGGACAATCTCCCTTTTCTAAAAAAAAAAGAATTAGCAAAATTACCGTTCCACTTTCATTCCATGTTTAATTAAAAACATGAACTTCAAGGACAATCTCCCTTTTCTTTGGCACAAAGCATCATGAAGATACAGATATACTCGTATAGTGTGCTGCAATCAATCGAAGGCTATAAATGAGTATTCATTAAATACGATAAAGATAGCAACTTTTGGGGAAGCTACACAATTTAATGATCGTTAAAAGAGCATTTTTAGCCACCTGTGTTCGCGTGTGTGCGTCTCTAAAATTGGTCGCACACAGTCAGGTGGAGATGCGGGTCATCAACCACATAATAACCAAACTCAACGCCACGTCGCCGGTGGATAAGACAACGGCGTCGCACAGAATCAAACCCCTCCCACTGCAAAAGTGGACTGTCACAGCCCATTCCAATTCAAACTCTCCCCACTAAACCAAATTTCCTATTCAAATTTCAATTTCTCGAGTGGGAAAAGGGAAAAAGAAATATACCCATTTCATCTTTTTCGTGATAGGACGGGTTGAACAGTAATTGGGCATCGATTTTCGTTTCTTCTATCTCTAACACAGTTTGGGTTTCGAGTATCAAAGTAGATGAAGCAGCGGCGATTTGAGAACTAACAGTTGTGGATCTTCCCATTCGCGGTCTTCCATGGCTGGGTATCCCTTTTGTTTTCATAATTTTCTGATCGTTCTGATGTTCTGTTTAACTTTGCTAATCTTCCAATCCAAACCCCATTATCATTATTCATTTGATTGTCTGATTAGCGTTAGTTTCTAAGTTGGGGTTATCTTGGTTAGTCATCCAGGAGCGTTTTTTAGGAAGCTTTGTTCATGGGGTTGTTCTTCAGAATCATAAACTTTCATGTTTTGTGCTTCTCATTCTCTTCTGGTTAAACGTTTGAGGCCTAGAAGGTAGAGAAGGTGAAGAGATACAAAGATGAAAAGGATTGATTTTCTGTAGCTAGTTTTCCTTGACTCAGCCCTCTTTAAACTCATTTAGTTAAGTGCCGCTTTCTTATCTGATCAGTATGAACAAAGGGTCTATATTGGATCAACGAGGTGCTCAAAATGTGGTTCAATCAAAAGAACAAAGCCTCTAAACTTTAATTGGAAACCAGGTTATAAATGTATTAGTTAGTAGACGGTAGGATGTGTGTTAGATCCCATATTGGTTGGAGAGGGGAATGAAATGTTCCTTAGAAGGGTGTGAAAACCTCTCCCTAGCAGATGCGTTTTAAAATCAATATTTGTTAGTAGTGGGCTTTGGCTGTTACAAATGGTATCATAGCCAGGTTCTGAGTAGTGTGTCGGCGAGGATGCTAGCCCCCAATGGGGGTGGATTGTGAGATCCCACATCAGTTGGAGGGGGGAACAAAACATTCCTTATAAGGGTGTGGAAACCTCTCCCTAACAGATGCGTTTTAAAATCGTGAGACTGACGACGATACGTAACGGGCCAAAGTGGACAATATCTACTGGCAGTGGGCTTAGACTGTTACAAATAGTATCAGAGCTAGGTTTCAGACGGTGTGTCGACGAGGACGCTATAGCCCCCAAGGGGGGTGGATTGTGAGATCACCCATCGATTGAGAGGGGAACGAAACATTCCTTATAAAGGTGTGGAAACCTCTCCTTAACAAACGCGTTTTAAAACCGTGAGACTGACGGTGATACGTAATGGGCTTAGGCTGTTATAATATGGGAATGCAAGATCAGTCCTCCTAATTAAATTGTTTTCGTTGCGTCTAGAAATTGAATGAAATGAACTGTATTGGTTTTATTTTTGAAAAATCCAATAGTTTATAGTAGCTTTTTAAGTACACATGTAAGTAGATGAAATTTGATCAAGATTTCGTAGATATTTCAATGAAGCATAACTTGTTTGCATTATGTATAAAAACTCAACACAGCCCATGGCGATGCCTTCTTGGTGTTGTGTTTGCTTTCTGCAGACCATCATGGCTGGTAGATAGCAATAGAATTGCAACAAAAATTAAGAGTGCATCTGGAACAAGCCATCCTCGAAGTGTCGAATGGAAAAGCAACCCGAGCAGAAGTTGTCCAAAGTGCCAACATACAATTGATAACAGTGATGTATAGCTTCAACTGTTTATTTGATAGAAAGTGTTCAGATCTATCAGTTATTATAATGTTCTGATATAGTTATTATTCTTCATCTGGTTATCTCCCGACCACCCGTCGAATCCTTATTATTACGTGATCCAACAAGCTATTTCCATGATGACAGAGGACCTTGTTAAGTATCATTGTAATCGATGCAACGGCTAACGAATTTAGGCTAGCTGATTGAATGTAAAAGTTTAGAAGATGGTCTATACCTAACCATGTTGTACATTAGCATATAGTTGAGATGGAATGTTCAATAAAAGTTCAACTGCTAAGTGGAAAGGTTGATGGTGGTGCTGACTGCTGATATAGAAAGCTATTTGACTTGTTCTTGATGGAAACCTCTTATGTAAAAGATTGTTGAGTTTAGACATTCATAGTTTTCCTTTTTAGAGCCGATGCTCGATGTTATCCATCATGTATAGAGATATCCTGAAAAGATCAGAACTCACTCTTACTTCTTGTAACAATCCAAGCCCACTGTTAGTAAATATTGTTTGTTTTAGTCCGTCTCGTATCACCGTCAGCCTTACGGTTATAAAACACGTCTATTATGGAGAGGGTTTAACCCTACTCAGATCAGTGTCTCGCACTGTTCGGTGACTGCTCTTATCGGAGTAGGCTAGACCCTCTTCATAGTAGACGCATTTTAAAATCGTGAGGTTGACGGCGATACGTAACAGGCCAAAGCAGACAATATCTGCTAGTGGTGCATTTGGGTTGTTACAAATGGTATTAGAGCCAGACACTGAACCCTCAAAGGGATGGATTGTGAAATCACACATTGGTTGGAGAGCGGAACGAAGCACTTCTCGTAAGGGTGTGGAAACCTCTCTCTAATAGACGCATTTTAAGACCATGAGGCTAATAGCCAAAGCAGACAATAGCCGTCAAAACTGATGTAGCTGTCTCTTCTTTGGGGTGATTGGTTGCATTGATGTCTGATACTTAGAGCAGTTGAAATCTCTTTGTTTCCAGGTTGCTCAAGAGTGGCCTGGATTACCTAGAGGAGTAAAATTTGATCCTTCTGATCAAGAAATTGTATGGCATCTGCAAGCCAAAGTTGGCATTGGTGGTTCAAGGCTGCATCCCTTTATTGATGAGTTCATACCAACTGTTCTTGAGGATGATGGCATCTGTTATACCCATCCTCAAAAATTACCAGGTCGATCACTGGACCAACACTGACCCGGTTTAGTCTATTGTTCGATATAACTACATTTGGTTACAAACGTTTTGTCGTTTAAAACATTGTAGGTGTTAAGCAAGATGGCAGTGTATCTCACTTCTTTCACAGAGCAATCAAGGCATACAATACTGGAACTCGAAAACGTCGGAAGATAACCGGCGATGATTTCGGTGATGTTCGCTGGCACAAGACCGGAAGGACAAAACCAGTGGTTATCGACGGGGTTCAGAAAGGGTGCAAGAAGATTATGGTTCTATACATGAGTTTTGCCAAAGGAGGTAGAGCTGAGAAAACCAATTGGGCTATGCACCAATATCACTTGGGGACTGAGGAAGATGAAAGGGATGGGGAATATGTCATTTCCAAAATATTTTACCAGCAACAAAACGTCAAGCATGGTGAAGTTACTGAACAGGAAATTCCTCAAATCGTCAATGCCGTAAAAGTCGATCCCCGTACTCCAAAGTCCGCAACTCCCGAGCCTCCTCGCGTTGAATGTAGATGCGTGAATGTTGATCAAGAACGGGATTCTGTTGTCATCTCCACAAGTGCCCTCGTTGAGGTATGAAAAACGATGTCTTACTCTACATTTCCGACCTCGAAAATCATGCTTGTGCTATGCACATGAATCGGATCGATTTATTTTCTCATGGCTTCTGCAAGTTTTGAATCTGAAATGCTGATTAAAATTACTTTTCTCCATTCTTTTATATTGTTATGCTTCATTTGTTCTCTAGTGTTCTTAAGAGTCTGCTTATTATTAGGTTCCATCTGAATCTGATAAGTCAGACAAACACGATACGATCAAGCTAGACGGTTGCTCTGTTGAAGTGATCGACGATAACGAAAATAACATCGACGAAGAACCAAAATGGTGGGAAGGAGAGTCACAGAACATATTGGACTCCCAACAACTTGTGGAAGCATTGTCTCTATGTGATGATCTCCTTCAGAGCCAGTCGCCCCCTCGAGACGGGAACACCAACAATGGCGCGTCACGGAGCAAATCTTTATTTTCTGAATATTCAAAATTAGGACCAGAGGATCTAAAGAAGGATTTAGAAGAGTGCCAAAATCTTGTCCTAGATCCAGGAAACATCGAACTCGACACACCTCCCGAGTTCCGACTTAGCCAGCTTGTATGTCTATATTTTAATTCTACAGCTCGTTCATCGATTGATCTATCGAAACATATCGTTTACTCGAACTCAGTTCTCTAAAGTTTGTTTTTTTGTGCTTCCAACAGGATTTTGGATCACAAGAGAGCTTCTCAGCTTGGGGTGGCAAGGCGGAGTAGCAATGGCGCGCCTGCAATATTGTATTTTTTGTTTTCTCGACGACGAGCTTCAACAGGGCAAAAGAGCCCCAGCTTGTAAACAAAACTCTCGTTCTAAACTCGTTTAAATTTCGAAAACTCCTTTAAACGCTTCATGCTGGGACATTGAAAAGGACAAGACATCATTAAAAAAGGGAAACTGTCTCTGATATTGGGATGTCATTTTCAGAGCCAACGATGATGGAGTGTAATCTTATTACCAAGTGTTACAACATGTCATGATAAGATGAAGACATTGAGTGTGTCCAAGTAAAGAAAAACAAAGCGAACGAGGGTCGATCCGAAGTTTAGAGGTTTAAGAGGTCGAGATGTACGTGGAACTTGTCGTGTCGTAGGAGCGGAGATCACATGAGCTGGCTAAGAAAATGGCTTTAGAGAACTGATGTTTTTGTAGCTGTAGAATGAAAGGAATGGCTGTCCCCCAAGTGCGTGTTAGCATGTCGACAGGCGAATAGGATGGGTGCGTTTGTGACCGGCATTTGCATTCAACTCCATGGTCCCTCTCTCCTTTCTCATCCTCTCTTGAGCTTTCCTCTTTTGTTCTATAATGGATCGTTTCCTACGTGATTTGACAATGGTGGTGGGATTGTTTTTTTTAGGTTCAATTACATCTCTATACCTTTAGTCACATGTGTTTCTTTGAATATGATCGAGAGAGGTTATTGTTAACGATTCGTTGATTCTATAGAAAGTTCTTGAAGGAAGAGACCGTTTTAATTACGAGGTTAAGTTTATTGTCGATGCAATCCAAAGTTCTCGTCAATTGTGATAAAGTAAAGGGTTTTTTTTTAGACATGATTTTGGTGATCTATCATACACTTTCATATTGACATGGCGTGAAAGAGTAAAGACCTATCTAAGATGAAAACATATAAAAGGGGTCTGGAACAGGCATGGGACATTCGACATTTGGCTATAGGCAACACATCTTAGACAAGCATGACCGTGATATTGGGTGCACAAGGTCTCTAGCTAACTCTAGTGAGACTGATTGCGTTTTTCATAACATTGGTGTGATTCAGTTTGAAAAACAGATCCTGACGTGAGGCACTTTCTCTACCCTATCGAGACAAGAATAACACTTCTAGCGAGCTTTCTACTGGCCAAACACTACATAATCCGCTATCGTCGAGCTTTCTCTAAGGAAGATTTTGGGCCCCGACGACAAAGGAACGAGCATATCATTAAAAATTGGAAGAGACTTCAAATAAAAAGAATACATACAAAAGGGATAAGTCTCTCTATATAATATTAAAAATAAAAATAAAAATAAAAATAGATTGAATGTGCAAAATAAAAGGAAAAAATTAGGTGTATATGATTGATGAAAAGATGGATGATGTGGAATGGTGGGGCCACCATTTGATGAAGAATCACACGGCTATGGTGGGCCTACAGATTGGGAAGCGCACGTGGACGTGATAAGGCTGCCGTTTTGACCAACTACGTTCTGTCGTTTTCCCTGTCAGAGCTGGCTACTTTCCTCTGTGCCCGACACTACAATAACATTTCCTTTTCACTTTCCTTAAACCTCTTGCTTCCACCCACGTGTCACTTACATTTTTTAAGATTCCACGTATTATTATGCTAATTTTTCCTTACAATATCAATAATATCATGGTTTCTATTTTAGCCTTTAAATTTTTTAAAAAAATAATTATTTTCATCTTTTATCTCTATTTTATAATTTATTTGAAAAAAAATATAATGACTAAGCTAAAATAAACTTGAATGACAAAAATACTGCCACGTGTGCGAGCAAGTAGGTACTTCCAATTATTAGCATGTAATTAAATGAGTTTATTAAGAATATTAAATTCAGCGACAAAAATATTATTTAAAATATTATAAAACATGGTAGCTTTATTAATTAATGGTATAAATACTTTATTATAAAAAAAATAATTATAGAAAGTAATTACATTTTTTTTTTTAAATGTTATTGAATAAAACAAGAAAAGGATAATGTTTGGAACATTGAATTGCATGATTAAAGAGAGATTTGTGGCGGACATGTTCCAAACTTTTTAAGAATAATTTTGTTAGGAATTATATTATGTGATGGGTTGAATGAATATTGGTAGTTGGATATTTTAGCATTATTGTTCTTAAGAGTTATTAATACCTACTTTGACTAAGTTAAGGATGTTTACATGTTGATAAATGAACGCTCAACGACCTCTCGTAATCAAAATGATGCTTTTTTTTTTTGTAGAACTTTGTGTATAAGAGTATACGTTCTTGGATCTACGATCTCAAAATGATCTAATTAATACCAAAATTGAATAGAACTTCGATCGATTGAAAGAAAAAAATTAAAAAGAATTAGAAAAGAAAGAGATCAATGCAAGAATATAGAGTGAGTGATTCGAATCTCTAATCTCTTTGTCAAACTTACATGTTAATAATCATCATCGACAATTATTTCCACCGATAATGTAGCATACTTTCGATCTATTTAATAAGTAAACTTCTATTATTAAAAGAAAATGACGTTGGTATATAATAAAGTCTCTAGTACATACTAAAAAATGCTTAAACAAATGAAACAACTCAAACCTACCGTTAGAAGATATTGTTTGTTTTAACATGTTACGTAAATAATGTGAAATCTCATAATCCACCCCTTTAGGGCCCAGCATCCTCGCTGCACGCCGCTCGATCACAGAGTCTAATATCACTGAAATAATTCAAGCCTACCGCTAACAGATATTGTCCATTTTAGCTCGTTACGTAACAAATGTGAGATCTCACAATTCACCTTCCACTAAGGCCCAACGAGGACTCCCCTTAGTGCCCATCATCCTCGCTGGCACACTGCCCAGTAATAGGCTCTAATATCACTGTAAAACCCAAGCATACCGCTAACAAATATTGTCAGTTTTAGCTCATTACGTAACCGATGTGGGATCTCACAATTCCCTTCCATTAAGGCCTAGCAAGAACTCCCCTTAGGGCTCATCATCCTCGTCGGCACTCTACCCGGTGATAGCCTCTGATATCACTGTAACAACCCAAGTCTACCGCTAACAAATATAATCTGTTGTAGCCCATTACATAACCGACGTGGGATCTCACAATCCACCCCTTTAGAACCCAGTGTCCTCCTCAGCACACCGTCAGGTGACAGGCTCTAATATCACCATAACAACTCAAGCCTACCACTAGCAGATATTGTCCACTTTAGCTTGTCACGTATCGTCGTGAGCCTCATGATTTCTAAAACACGTTTGCTAGGAAAAGATTTCCACACCCTTATAAGATATCCTCCGTTCCTCTCACCAACCTCATAAAATCTCATACAAATGAGTAAACCTAAGTGAGTATAATCTAAAAATGGATAAGAAGAATTTAAGATGCAAACCCCATTATTGTTTACCCCTTAGAACATCAACAAACACATAATTAAGAAACAAAACCTAAATTCTTAATCTTAGATTACACAAACCTTAATGAACAATCCAAATAACCCAAACGAATGATATAAAAATGGAAGCTTTAGAACAATTAATGGTTATTTGAGAGAGTAAAAAACAAATTCCAAAAAGAAACAAAAAGAGTACTGAAAAGAACACAGCACATGGGGGCTTTCTCGATAATCCAAACCCACACTCATTCATTCATTCAATGTTCATACCAAAACCCTTGTGTTCTTCAATCAAAACTCCCCCAGTTGCTCAAATTTCATGCATGAAAAGGAATTAACAAACACAAATTAGTAGAAATAACAATAATTGATGCCAAGATTTACACTTTTTCCCCTCATCTACCCATTACAAAATTTGTTGATCTCCCAGTAAGAAAAAAAATGAAGCTTTGATATGTACAAAACAACGGCAAAACGCCATCGCCATCGTTTAGAGTGTAAGAGTCAGTCGTGCCAACAAAGAAGCATAACAACACAACGCCTTATAATGTAAAGCCGTGCTCTTTGCTGTCTTATGACATCGCCAAGGCCTCTGCTTGAAACCCTCCTTTTGGATCCTCCAATGCTTGCGCTATTCATCTTCATCCTTTGACTCGAGTATCAGTTGTTCTTCGTGTTCTTCGTGTTCTTCGTGTTCTTCGTGTTCTTGAGGATTTGAGAAGGGAAAGAGAAATGGAAGCTTTCTTATATAGACATAAGGATGGGGTGGCTTTTCTTTTTTAATTTTTAATTTTTAATTTTTTGAAAATGATTAATTATTATTATTGAAAGAGGCAAAGCGTGGAGCGTGAAAGAGTCTCATGTGTCCCCCATACCCACGAGACCAAGCCTCTCACTTTGGACCCACATTTACCCATCATATAATATATATATATATATATATATATATATATTAAAATGTTATTTATTATTGTTATTATGTGACAATGGAATCATATTATATATTTTCAATTTATTGCATGTATGAATGTGGTCCAAACTTATATGATCTGATCCCAATAGTTTTTTTTTTTTTTTTTTTTTTTAATTCTAGTGAAAAGACCATTTTACCCTCGTGAAAAGATTACTTTTTTTTAAATTATAAAATATGAGGTAATTTTTTAATAATAAAATATTTTTATACGAGAATTAAAACGTGATTGGTGAAAATTCAAACGAGGGTTTTTGACTACTAAGCAGCACTTTTGCTATTCAATCATAGAATCGATTCTAGTCAAGTTGAAAAAGTTTGTTCCTTTGTCATCAGGGTAGTTGAATTTGGTGCAGATAAGTTTAATGGGACGGACGCTTCTAGACTAGGAGATCTTCACTTTATATCGTCAGCAACTTAGAATGGACGAAGTCATTTCTTTGATATGGATACAGTAACGATCATAGGGGAGTTTCTGATATGTTTGAAGAAGATTTGACTTAGTGGGACAACCACTGTGTAAGCATTTGTTCTAACCCAACGAACGAGTCACCCGTTTGAAATTTGGAGTTCATGGACAATATCGTCGTATGCTCGAACCTTGAGTCACGTTTGAGAGAAATGTTTGAAAAAACCATAAGTAAATATGTTGAAAACAATGAAACAACAACAATGACTTTGATAACATATACCTCGGGTAACAATAATTGACAACTAGTCACATCTCCTATAGTACATTTTAGGACAATTTAGTCTATTACATCTAAATTATGAAGCAGACCAACGAGAGAATAAACATAGAATCGTTATTTTTCAAAAGGGAAACATAAAAGACAATGAACAACTCACGAGAAACAAATCCAATACACAATGATGAAAAAGAAAAAGTACATAACAAAATATATTAATGGAGCATATAATATAATTGGATATAAATTATAAGAAAAAGCTATTTATATATATATATATATATATATATATATATATATATATATATATATATATATATATATATATATATATATATATATATTATGTATATAATATACGTTGTATCTAAATGAGAAATATAAAAAAGGGGAGATTTTTATGGCAGGAAATTAGAGGACAAAGAATATTTAAGGGAATGAGGGAGGTCGGCCCCCCAAGTGTAGGGCGTATGTGCCCTTACAGGAATGAAAGGTTGGTGTGTCTGTAGGACTCGACCACCCACCACCACACTGGGTCGCCCATTGAGCCAACAAGGGCGCCAAGTTTGCCTTCTTTACGTAGGGCACCTACCCCTTTCTAC